TTACGATTGTCAAAATATGCTGATGGATGGTAATACTTTACGGAACTATAAATGGAAGAGTTTTGCCTTCTAGACCCTGGACAGGAGTAGACCAATGATTTCACTCGATGCCTAGGCCTACTAGGGCATCCACTTAAAAAAAAAAAAAATGTTAACTACAGCAAAGTATACTTGACAACCATTTACATAACATGAAGATAAATTTGTTACTTTTTATTATTGTAATAAGATCAACCAATGTGGGCATAACCAGAATAACTGAATAACTACTGTTCAATGGATTCACATTAATTCTCAACTTCATAAATACTGCACTTTTTGTTAGAATAGTCCAAGTTTATTGTAACAAAACTAAAAAATTACACAAAATGCCCATAATAGGTAACATATTGCCAATAAGGAATTAGCAATATAGATCATGCCAATATGCGGAATATGCCTTGCCACATATTGTACCTAATTTACCATCTTTTTAAAACCCTAAATCAGATATGTCTTCTTAACATAAGTGTATTATTGATAACAATGGATTTTTAATCAATTTAACCACAATCTTATTAGCACAAGCAAGTCTTAACTGAAAAAATTTCAGACTCAAGTTTCTTTTGACAAGAGATGGTCTAGAGAGGTGACGGATTGTCGATGTGAAATATTTTGAGTAGGATAAATGATACTATGTAAATGCATTGTTAAGAGCAGCAAGAAAATAAGTTTTGTAGACTTAGTTGTAGTTGACAAAATCTGGCAGGATTGGCTCTTTAATTTAGTCACTTAGTCAGATAATATGCATATCACTTGGGTTACCAGAAAAATTAGGCAGAAACAAATTTATTGTGAATTACTTGGAGACTCTGGTTATCAATCGTCAGATTAGCAAGCAGCCGTCATATGTGAGCAGTTGTTCATGTAACAAACATTCATACATATAATATTATGAGACATGTTCAAAAAGTAAATGTTTAATACCAAGATGTTAAAATGAGAATTCTAAAAAAGAATGTGGACAAATGCTGGTGTTAACAGTAGGAAGCTCTGCATAAAATCAGTGCAAATTTAGAGATTTGATGGAAGCTGCTGACGAGTTTAAACATCTGGACTGTACAAGATGAGACCAATGAGTTATGGAAGGCAAACAGAGGTAAAGTACAGCTGAATATGTTTTGTTTGTGGGTTGAAAATTATATAAACAATGGTGTAACTGGTGCAATGAGAATAGGGTGCTGTAACAAGTAGAAAGTATAAAAAGTTCTTGTACTGTAATACACGCTAGTTAAGTGTAATGACGATAAAGAGGTGTAGTGGCATTGAAGGTGGTCGAACCCTTAAAGTGGTAGTGGCAGTGATAGCAATGAAGACGGGTAAAGATGGGTGATGGTAGGGGTAAAGATGGTGGTGATGGAGTATGGTAAAGATGGTGGTGATGGAGTATGTTAATGATGGAAGTAGAGGTAATGTTGACACACGAGTGATGCGGATTAATGATGACGAGAGATGTTGGAAGTAGGAATGGTGGTATAGTAGTGTGCCACAATATGGGTGAACAGGTGATGCTCCCCGCTCACTAGTGATAAGCCTATATGAGCTCATAGATACCAGCTTAAAATGTTATTATAGATACATTAAAATGGATTACTATAAAACCATAGCTAGCACTGCCTCACAAAGAAAATGACAAAATTAATTTAACCTTCAAAGTGCAGGTGCAGTCATGTTTATCATCTAATGCTGCAATCATTGTCAAATGAAGAGCTACATCTCATGTCAGTGTTTTAATAGCAATTTCTGTATGGTTCCCATAGCTTACTGGTACCTCACCAGTCATGGGAGGCCACAAAAATAATTAGGAGTCAGAGCATTTCCTGCTTCCCTATCAACATATGACTCTTACCTAGCCAACAAAAAAGATTTTCACAGTATCTATTTAGGTACTATCCTTGCAGTCCTTATTTTTTAACATTTTAAATAACAAATATACTATACACAGTATTTTGTTTGGTTCTCACTCTTATCACAATGTAATACTGACGAACGCCAGAAGTAATGCTGACCAATGCCCAGGTTCAAATAATTCCAGCCTTTTAAATAAAGCTCTACCATTTAAACTTTTCCCCAGAGAACTTTGATTGTTAATCTGTAGCTTAGATAAAGTTCATACTGAGATTTATACTCCCAAGCCCAGCCTGGGACATAGCTGCACTTCGCTTGTCATTCAGCAACACGGCCCATCAACATGAAGTGGTGTCAGTTTCAAATCAATATGATAAGGCTTTTTAATATACAACATGAAAAAGGAGATCTACTGATGCCGAGACATCCTAAAGATATTCAACAGAAACCTGTCGGAAGACAGAACCATGTGGTATTTCAACTGCGCATAACTGAAAACAATTGCACATTCACTCTCTCCGCCAGACCTGCCAACACTTTATTTTTTGTAACACGACAGTTACCAGAAGCAAAAAAAACTTGGGAGGCTATTTTGATCAAATAATAAATAGGTTCATTTATACCTACAAAGATATGACTCCTGCTTCTTTAACTATCTACTAAAACTCTGCTATCAGTGACTACCAAAGATGCAAATCATTCACATAAAATAATACAAATACCAGATATAAATTTAAGAACCTTCAAAACCTGTAATGTACCACTCAATCTGGAAATAATCCAATGTATAATTACCTATTTGTGTTTTATATACCAAAGTTTAAGCTCATAGTATCCAGTCTTCCTTTAGTAATTGCTACATGTGTAGATACTGTATACTCGCCTAGCTGTGCTGACGAAAGGTTGAGCCTAAAAGGGGGGGGGGGGTTAGAAATAGTCTAAGCTACTCTATCCCTTTGAGATTTATTCCTTTCTTGTCTCAAACATACTTGAACTTGTTGAGCCTAAACTATTTGGTACCGCCTCTAAACCTTCAATAACTGGTGTACAGGCCTTTTGGGCTCTATCACATCTACAATTTTCATGGTATTCACATTTCCCTCATTCCATTCATTCTCTCTTTTTCTAACCCCCACCCTCTCTCTCTCTCTCTCTCTCTCTCTCTCTTTCTCCCTCTCTCCCCCTCAGAAACTTGCATTAAAGCTAAACTATAAATTACAAGCATAAATTTTGTTAAAGATGATGACTTATATTCTTGTTGGAAAATTTAATATAACAATGCTTATTTAAAGTGATACAATTTTATGTACTCATTTTAATGCAGATAAATTATTTACATGTTTAGGTATGTTTATTAAACATACCTAAATTATTTAGGTATGTTTCACAGTATATCACGAGGAAGTCCCCAGAACCTATGCCATGCATATCTAACAATTCAAAAAATATTAGGTGTATGAATATCCTTTAACAAATGCCCTACCCCCCTGCACCTACATATTAAACTACAGGTATGCAGTGGATGTGTGAGTGTGGTGAGGGGACAGGGTGTTGCTGTCAAAATAGTGTGTATGTGTGTGTGGAGGGGGGTTATGTATGGGGGTATGCATAGGGGGGTATTATTGGGAGGAATGTATGGGAGGTATCTATTTGGCGTATGTATGGGGGGTATGAACAGTATGGGGGGAGGGTATTTATGATGGGGGGGTATTTATGATGGAGGGGGTATTTATGATGGAGGGGGTATTTATGATGGAGGGGTATTTATGATGGAGGGGGTATTATGATGGGGTTATTTATGATAGGGGGGTATTTATGATTGGGGGGGGGTATTTATGATAGGGGGGGGGTATTTATGATAGGGGGGGTATTTATGATAGGGGGGTATTTATGATGGGGTATGGTGGTTAGGGTTGTGGATTGGGCAGGCATATTGTGGTAGTCCAATGTAGATGAGCGGGTGTGTGGTGGTGTAGATGGGATACGAGGAGCAGTGGGAGCACTCCCTGGTCGTAAAATCTCTCTGGGTTCCTTCATGCCCATTTCAAATGTACTCTCTCTGAACCAAACAAATAATTTAACATAATAAATATATAACCATAATTCTATATCATACAAAAATTTTGATTTCAAGTCATTATAATGAAGCATTCTTGAGACATTGAACAGAAAACTATCACTAGAAAAAATATATGAACACTATAAAACCATAAGGTGTCCTTACTGGGGATTTGTAATATATAAATATTAAAAGGTGATGCTAGGATCATGTATCTTCATTCCCCAATTCTAGGAAATAATTTTTGAACAACAAATTACAATAACGTACACTTGTCTGTCCTCAACATGGATGTATGTATGCCAATTTTAATGCAACACTTCAACACATTTAATTTCTTCAATAATATTTGTCCCATTATCTTAAAACACACACGCGTGATGTAAGTCGATGGTCTTGATTCGAGCTACGTACAAATATGCCATGAAAAAATAAATAAAATAGATAAGTGGCAGTCACTGGCTACAAAGGCCTTGTTTGACGTCAAGATTACATTATACTGTGCTACATTATCAGAGTAGGTGACACTGTTTCTCTTTAACACAAAATATACGTACTGTACAATACTTATACCGACCTGCATGCTTTTAGTACAGTAGGCTGCTTTTTTTTTTCAAAAATTTTTGTCAGTCATCACAAGTTATCGTTATAGTTTTCTAAAATCTGTAATTTTTTCTCGAGATGCCATAGCTTCCACGCAAAATTCTTTGCTAAGCTCGATTCAGGTAACTTAAGGTCCCAATCGTATATCAACCCTATTGCATCTACTATGACGTATAAAACTTCCTTCCCACTTTCACTTTAAGTTTAGCTTCTGGTAACACTGATTATCTGCATTACTGTATTGGCAACACTGGCAATCGGCAGAATTCAAATAACAAAAACAATAATAAAGTTTTTTTATAAATGATAATTATAATAATAATAATGATAATATTGTATTATTAAATGATGATGATGACGACAACAATAATAATAATAATAATAATAATCAATTAATAATAATCAATAATAATAAATTACTACTAAAATAAAGCTTTTTGAAAAATTATACCTTTAAGTCCTTCATAATGCGGCAGTTTTTAATGGGTCCTACTACAACAAATATCTTGTAAAACTCTTGGTCCGTGAGTGTCTGTGGGAGGTAATTAATGATGAGATTTGTCCTTGTCTCCCCATCAGGAAGCGCAGAACTGGTAGATGACTCGTAACTCATTGTGCACTTTCTTATTTTTCCAAGCCTAACCTGTAAGAGAAAAGTACACTACTCAGCGATTAAAATTAACCCGGTAACCCTTAATACAGCTAAAAGTTGTCTTGAAAATCATTAATATCACATGAGTGTACAGGACTGTACCGAGTGAGGTCAAAACACTGGAGGGAAAGGGAGCAAACTTCTTGCAGTACGAGGCAGTGTTCATTACTTTTTCACAAGCGAGTAACAGAATACAGAACTGCAATACAGTATCTTGTTTATTGGCAAAGTATTCCAGTCAAATTTGTATTTATTTACCACTGTGGTGACTGCTTGAGTCTTTGTTATGCTGTAAGTTAGTATTGCAGAGGTACCACTGATGCCTGGCAGTGTAGCAGTAGGATTATGGTACTGGGGTATATAGAGCCGAGCTATCCCTCGCTGCCCTTCGATTCTGGCACTAATGCCATCCTTCCTCTGAATGCATATTAGTTTCTAATTGTCCACCGAGTCATTGATACAGAATTGTGAACTCTAAATCATTTAATGTTTATTGTTGTGGTGCTTTAAAATGTATGGAAAATCTGCATATTCTTCACAAAACCCTATACCAGCCCATGATACGTGCATAGTTGTACTCTCTAATTTCTAAAGCTAGTGCCAAACTTCCTGTGATAAATTAAAAAGATAAGGAGTCCAAAGCCTTCAAGTAGGTACCTTCATGACATCTTTCCTAAGCTGAGGCAAACGTCAAAGCAAAGTTTGGCAGAACAAATTGACACGGCTCTAAATAAGGAGTCGAAAGCCTTCATGTACAGCACCTTCACAATACCTCCCCCAAGTTGTCTTGGGTAAAGGTCAAAGGAAAGTTTCAGCAGATAAACTGTCACAGCTCTAGATAAGGGAGCCGGTCGGCCGAGCGGACAGCACACTGGACTTGTGATCCTGTGGTCCCGGGTTCGATCCCGGGCGCTGGCGAGAAACAATGGGCAGAGTTTCTTTCACCCTATGCCCCTGTTACCTAGCAGTAAAATAGGTACCTGGGCGTTAGTCAGCTGTCACGGGCTGCTTCCTGGGGGTGGAGGCCTGGTCGAGGACCGGGCAGCGGGGACACTAAAGCCCCGAAATCATCTCAAGATAACCTCAAGAAGGAGTCAGCAGCCTTCAAGTACCTTTATGACAGTTTCCCTAAACTGTCCAAGACAAAGGTCAAAGCTAAGTCAGAGAATAATAACCATTTTCTATACTTTTGGAGACATATGCAATTAGAACATATTAATACCCAGATACAAAATAAATAATACAATCTGCTACATTGTATAATTTATACTCAATCCAATGATCTGGATTTAAAAAATCCCAAAGACATTGGTTAACACATTTGATGATTAATTTTATTACATATGTAACTTCTCTGCAGTCTGGGTTACAAATTATTTTAATGATTGTTTACACTTCCAATTTTAATTGGAAGCTCATGAACATAAAACATTAATTTATGACAGATGGTAATTTCTGAATGAAAATATAATTATCAGGATAAAGTGCTAAGCCACTGACTATAGCACTTGTAAGGACAAGATACGAGGAAGAAGTGAAGTAAGCGTAAAAACCACCACTTGGACTATTGGCAATCAAACACAGGCTTTCAAGAACTTAGGTCGTCGCTGTACCAAGCAGTCCAAGTGCTCAGAACTGAATTTATTTTTATATTGACTAGCTTAGGTACAAATCATTGTTATAAAGGGTAGCAAAACTGCTTCTCCCCGTACAAAATCAATATTATATATATATATATATATGTGTATATATGTATATATATATGTATATATATATATAATGTATATATATATAATGTATATATATATATATATATTATACATATACATATATATAGTATATATACATATACATACACAATACACACATATACAGTGTATAACAATATATATAATTATACTGTATATAATTTATTTATATATTTATTTATTATACATACTTTCTTTCCATACTCAATCAGCTTCCTGTACTGTGTACAGAGACAGGGGTCATGTAAAGATTAAATCAACAACACAGATTTGGCAATACAGTACTGTACTAAATAATAATCTCACACCACCAGTGGCCAGAAATTATTTAGTATAATAGGATACAAAAATTCACTTCCAGCCACTTCCTGCAAGCAGGCGAACATGTAAGGCAATGTGACATGAAGCTGCCTTTGAGTGACATCATATGCACTCGCCAAATTACAACATCTAAATGTTTTTTCCAGTTTTTGAGTTGAATGCACAATCACATCAAGTTAAAAAATACTATATAGTTCACCCAAAGCGAACACCTCCCAAATTTAAATCGCAGACGAGCACAATAAATTGAGAACTCCTGAAAAGCTAGCCATATTAAAAACTCACAATAAATTGAGAACTCCTGAAAAGCTAGCCATATTAAAAACTCACAATAAATTGAGAACTCCTGAAAAGCTAGCCATATTAAAAACTCACAATAAATTGAGAACTCCTGAAAAGCTAGCCATATTAAAAACTATTAAAAACTGCACAACACATTCTGAAAATTTAGAATCAAATGCATTTGGAGAATTATTTGAATAATGAGACATAACCTAAAGATTGCCCCTTCACTATTTGGAAATTGACTTTTAGGACACCTAGTTGAATCCTCAATGAATTATGGTATAATCAGCATTCTATGAGCAAGGCAGTTGTAAATGTCTTATCTTTCATCAAAGTAGTGGAGTGACCCCCAAGGAACTGTAACCCATCCACCATATTCAACATACATCCTTTTGGACTAACTATTCAAACAATTCTCAGAATGCTCCCAAGAAAGCAAGAGCATTTAAAAAAAAATAATCCCAAGAGGAGTTGTGCTCATGGACCACTTGAAGCTTTAAGTGTTATAATGATGACGGCCTATCCATCATAACACTTTACCTATCCAAATAATAAATAATAAATTAAGATTATTTTATGTACAGTGCACTCTGCGATCTGTCTGGATAATAAACAAGAGCCATACAGTGAGGGTAGAAATAGCCTAAGCTACTCTATCCCTTTGAGATGTATTTCTTTCTTGTCTCAATAAATATACTTGAACTTGAAGAGCCATTCATTTTTCACTACAGTTCCTTTCCAAAAATAGCTCAGGACACCAATACGAACCCCCTCAGCACTTATTATAATGTGTAACAGCATTTATTATAATGTTACACAAAGCTTGTGTAACAATACAGCAATGGATCAATTTACCCACAGCAAGTTACCAATTGAGATCCTCATTGTGGTACATAACGGACTGTCAACTATTTTATTATAGCATTGTTAATGAGGACTAGAGTTTTCTGCTGTAAATATACAGTGAAGCATTTGTATCACTTTACATGTCAACAAAATTAAATCAATTTGAACCCAATACAGTAATGCAATACACGAACTAATGTAGTTAAAAGATTTTTTTTATTACTTTTTGAAGCTGGGTTGTCAAGTGAAAACACAGGTAAACTGGGTAGTCTACCTTTCCACAGGCTGGCGTAAGACAGCACCTCTTTAAATGACTAGCTTAAGTATATACACATGAAGTGGCCTCAGTAAACTAGAGAAATGTATATAGTAGAGGTTAATATAGTGAGGAGGAGGTATGAGTGACACGGAGGGGGAAGATACCTGCACATGCCACCAACATACCTGCTAGTCTACCACTTGCCCTCACTAATACCAACGACCAGTAAACTAGACAAGTGTATACCGTAGAGGTTAATATAGCGAGAAGAAGGTATGAGTGGTGGCACGAGTGACACACGGGGGGAAGATACCTGGACACGCCACCAACATACCTGCTCCTCTACCACTTGCCCCTCACTAATACCAACGACGGACGCGCCTGAGAGCGAGTTAAAGAGCTGCCGTGGCCGTGTATCACGAGTCATGTGGCCGGCCAGGAGAAGTGAGAGAGAGAAGAGGGAAAAAGTGGCGGCATTACTGGAGAGATGAGACGAAGGGTGAGGGAGGTAGTATGGGGAGGGAGGCCGCGCACCTTCACCTCAACCGCCACCCCGCAGATATTTCACTCTTCCCCGCCCTCCCTCCACACACCCGCGCCCCCACAACCTACCCTACCGCGCCTGCAGCGTCTCCGGCACCCGCCGGCACCACCTACAACACACAAGAAGGTACAATACTCGCCTAAATAAACAAAAACATTGAGCTGTCTTGGTGGTGAGATGCCGGGTAGACGCGCGTGGGGCACACAAACATTGGCGCACGCCTGCCAACCCTCCCCGCGGCCCCCCACGCCTCCCTGCCCCGCCCTCCATACACACGCCTCACACACGTATATATCACCACTCTCTTACATACCACTTCTTATCAAAGCCTTCCCGTCAAATAGAAAGCAATATAAGGAAAAAGGAGATATTGATTTTGACGTGGCACCACTGTCGTCATAGAAAATGGTAACACGACCATTTTCTTCCACTGGTCGACCCTCACATGGGAGACCTTCTGCCGAGCAAATTTAAATACTTAACATATACCATTTTTGCCTCATGGAATGCCTTAAATTCCAATACTTTGGGAACAGACCGATAATTTTAAAATCTCAAATTAAAAAAAGCAAGAATTAAAGAGCAGCACTAAGGGTGGGAAAAGGAGAAAAGGAGATAATATCACAATATCCCTACACAGGAAATACGCTAGCCTACGTATTAGGTTTCTGAGCCATCCTCATTGTCTCTATATTGCCCCCTAAATGAACCTTAATTGCTCACTTCAGTTACTCCTACATCGATTAAACATAACTTGTATTATATATATTGTTACACTTTTGGAGCAAGGCTTACGTCATATAGTTGGAAAGCAATACTGTATATACTGTATATGGGTTGAGTTGTCTATGGCCTTGACTCAATAGACCATCCTGATTCAGGGTTCGACTCCCGGGAGGGACAAATAGTTATCTAAAACTCTCCTGGTACCTATTTACTGCTAGGTGAACAGAGGCATCAGATGAAATATTTGTATATATATAAATTATATATAGATATATATAACATATAAGTATTCATGTATCTATAGGGTTTGGTCTAGCAATATTTAGAAAAAAAACAATTATATAAAAAATACCCTAAATTAACATTAATTAAGGATTCGAACACACTCACCAGCAGTTCAGTCTATTCGCTAGTTATACCTATGGCCTTAAACTCCCTAACTGAATTCAATACAGCTTTTTCACCAACCACTTTGACTGGACGGTAGAGCGACGGTCTCGCTCTATGCAGGTCGGCGTTCAATCTCCGACAGTCGAAGTGGTTGGGGCACCATTCCTTTCCCCCCCGTCCTATCCCAAATCCTTATCCTGACCCCTTCGAAGTGCTACAAAGTCGTAAAATAACGTGGCGCTTTCCCTTGATTCAAACAAATTATTGTTTGAATTAAATTCAAACAAATTATTGTTTGAATCCTGATAATTACAAAAAATTAGAGCTTTATCATCAATTGTGGGCAATCTTGCAAGAAATACCTACGACAATCCGATCATACACTAATTGTTACATGTGTCATAACGGTAGTTATACCCAGTTTGTCATACCTGTTACCTCTCAGTCCTTCAGATAGTTATAATATATTCGCCCAAGTCTACGTCATTTTGTCAATGCGTAAGAAATCAGATTAACATCATGATAACAGATTATATCATGATAACAGATGTAACGGTAGTCGTGACGGGATCACTCAAAGAGTTCAGTGGTTCTCAAGCTTGCCTCTCTCTTTCCCCCTTTGCAAACATGGGCTCACCTGTGGACCCTTTACAGCCGCGGGCTCACCTGTGGACCCTTTACACCACGGGCTCACCTGTGGAACCCTTACAACCACGGGCTCACCTATGGACGTCCTACAACAAAATATATCGAGCCAACACCATTGACAGTAACTTATTGCTGGAGAAAAAAATCATCAAGGAAAATAGAGAGAGCTTTGACAAGCCGCCGGCTTCCTATCCCCGTCGAGCTACTAGTTCATATGGTCCCATGGACTCGCTCTTGATATTCTTCTTTGGGCCCCCGGTTGAGAACCACTTAGATCATCGGAGACTCGAACTCGGGGTCTCTGAGTTACGAGACCGTCTTAAAGAGATGGATGGGGACCATAGTGTCGTAGCTCTCAGAAAAAAATCGACACTTTCTGCCACACAGGCAGAAATTTAAGCGGGAGAATTTAAGCCCTCCTTCCCGCTCTCCTGTTTCACTAGAATCTAATCCTGAATCATCTCAATATCCCCCCCTCTTCCTCCTTTCTTCCCCTCCACTCTTCTACCCAGCATTTCCCTCTCTCCTGCTCACCCCACACTAACCCATTACATAATCTGTCCCAATCCCCCACCCTCTCCACCATTTTCCCTTTCCTATCAGTCAACATCTTTTTCCCCCCCTCTCCCCCTCTCTTCAAATATCCTCCTCCTCTCTTCTCGGTCCCTCTCTTCAAACATTGCCCCGGTCTTATCTTTCTTCCCCCTTCTCACCCCCTCCTCCTCTCACAGAACTATGGAAATATTACAGGGTCATGGGAGAGCTGCTGTCTGTTATTATTATTATTAATGAATTGTGGGGTTCAGTCCCTGAGCCCATTATGTGCCTCTGTAACCCTTTCCACTACCGCCCACAAGATGGGTATGGGGTGCATAATAAATGAACTAAACTGTTATTATTAGGCTTCACAATACACTACTTCTTAATCTTATATGTCGTTTAACAACTAGAAGCGAAATCATGATGTAGTGCAAGAATTTCAGATATTTTATCCTTAGTGATAAGATGGTACAATTATGTATTAGCGAAATGACCTACTATTAATGTATAATGATTAACTATAAATACATAGCTATTGAAATGGAACATTCTCTGTAACTAACTGGCATTATAAGGTGTGCAGGATAGATGTAATTTTTAATCTCCGCCAGGTCTGATAAAGATCTTTTATACCCACTGTAATAATTCTTTTTGCGCTACCGCTCAATTTCAATTTCTCTCTTCGGCTCGCAGGATGAGTATAGAGTGCAGAATAAACTAGCCGTCTCTAACCAAGAACAATATCTCTCACAAAAAGATTAGATAAAAACACTATACAAATAACTCTACGGATAACATAAGCAACATTTCAGATGCCTTCATTAAATTCGCACGGTGCGGTGGTGGTTGGGGAAAGGGATTAGATGCGGGTGTCTTAAAGTGTGGCACTGGGGCCGACCCTGGTCTATGAGGCTCCCATACCCCACACGCGTCATGCGGTAAAGTTGAGTGAGGGCCTCCAACCTTGGACAGACAAACATACATTCTCTTATAAAATGTATGTTTGATGGGGCTAACGGCTGAATGAACAGCGCTTGGGATTCGTCGTCTCAAGGCTCCTGGTTCAGTCCAAGGCAGAGGCGGAAACAAATGGGCAGAGTTTGTTTCACCCTGATGCCCCTGTCCACCTTGCAGTAAATAGGTATCTGGGAGTTAGACAGCTGCTACGGGCCGCTTCCTGGGGATGTGTGTGAAAATAAGGATTACGGATAGTATAGCTTTAAGAATTAAGGCTAGAAATGTTTGCCAAGTCATTTATCTATATATATAAAATACAAAGTCTTTGTCCACCTGTTTGTCCAAAGTCGGAGGCCAGTCACTTGGTACTATCCTCACCCAACTTTGCAGGGTGATCGGACTAAGGTTAGGGATTGACACTATCTGACCAAGGTCGATCCTATATGTCCTATTAAAAGAACGTCGGGCCCAATGAGCAATTATCAGTAGAAGGCGCCAAGCTTAGAAGATTATATAGCCCACTAGTGAACCTCTGCCCCCCCTCTTATCACTTGCCCAGAAAACATGGCCATTTCTTCAGCAATAAGCGAGATGTACTTAAACTTGTGTACAATAAATGTAAAGTAAAAATACTACATTTGTATAGTCTGCGAATATATTTACTGAACTCTAATGTTACTTAACAAAGGATTATAAAACTGAATTATCACATGTTTAATTAAATATACTGTTTGTCTATAATAATGATATACGAACGCTACCTAGAAGTAGACAGTTGTTGTTGCCTATAGTAGTAAAAAAAACACTGCAAATATAAGATCAATCATCGTGCTTTCATGATACAAGCAAACAAATAAATAATCAACAAATAATACGCAAAAACTACAGTAATTCTAATCACTTGGATTAAACAAAATCCCATTACAAATGGATGAATGTTTCAGAAGGTTGAAGGCAACTTGCCTACTTAAGGCTGGGACTGGGAAGATGAAGGTCAGTGTGCACGACGTGCCTAGTGGGAGAGGTTGGACGCTGCTCACCCCTCACCTTATATCCAGGTTAGCCATGTGTATACATGAAATTATATATCGTTCGATAGACATTTGACATGTCCCTTAGATGGTGTTGAAAATATAGAAACAGGTAATTATGAATGTCGAAGCCCTATTAGCTGTGAATATATAATTATTCAGGCAGGACATATGACCTGCTTCAAGAAACTCTATGCGTGTGGTTTTATGAGAATGTGAGAACGCCAATGGTATGTATTCTCACAAACCAAATGTACCTTCTTCTATATAAATAAATAAATAAAAACATATTTAGCACCGCACAATTTTTATGGCCTATGTGCGCTAATGAGCAAACTGCTTTAACTTATTGCTCAAGAATTTAATACTTAAACACTAATTGCTAGAAATATATATATATATATATATATATATATATATATATATATATATATATATATATATATATATATATATATATATATATATATATATATATATATATATATGTATATTTATTCCACGCACGCATACGTTCATGGACTTGTGTATACAAAAAACATTATATGCCTATGCGCATATATACAATTCATTAATTTAAGTGCGCAGATGCCTTCGTCGTGTACTCTTTCATTCACAGGTGTGCGTCCAACATACTCATTCACAGGTGTGCGGCCAACATACTCATTCACAGGTGTGCGGCCAACATACTCATTCACAGGTGTGCGGCCAACATACTCATTCACAGGTGTGCGGCCAACATACTCATTCACAGGTGTGCGGCCAACATACTCATTCACAGGTATGCGGCCAACATACTCATTCACAGGTATACGTCCAACATATTCATTCACAGGTGTGCGGCCAACATACTCATTCACAGGTGTGCGGCCAACATACTCCTGAAGCAGGAGTAATTTACACAAAGGTTATAGTTTTAAGTATCCAACGTACTTGGATCCTGAATTTCTGCATCTTAACCGGTAAAGATGAAAATTGTCCGTGGTGAAAAAAACTCAAGATTCACGCAGAAATCACAATAGCGTATATATCAAACGAACAAATCCACAAAGACAAAATCTTTTAACCATGTCGTGGTACAGTGTACTAAGGCGCATCTGGGAACATCCCGTGCAGAGGTTCGAACTTTCATTACGACCCTTGTGGATTTGTTCAAAGTTAGATTGTTGCCTTGTTAAAGGGTGAAGCTCCTGAAATATATTTTGTACTTAGTTGTGCTTGCGGGGGTTGAGCTTTGGCTCTTTGGCCCCAAGGACCAAGGACTCTTTGTGCAAGGAATAGGATACAGGCAAGTGGCAAATATATTACGGAACCCACACTATGCATGAAGTGTTCTCGTTGGGGACATATGGCTTGGATATGCCAGTTTGAACCCAGATGTCAGTTCTGCTGTTAAAAGCATCATTCGCGAGAGTGTAAGGTCAGGATTGAAAAAAAGGAGAAAAGGTTTTGTCATCTTGCTGCAATTGTCGAGGCATCCACAATACTGATTCGTCTCTATGTCCCATGAAGCCCTATGTGAGAGATTCCAAGCCGGCACCTACAACAGGGTAAAGGAAGCTCCGAAGGAAGGCAAAATCTTACGGCAGGAAGAAGGAAGAAGCAGTGGAGAGAGAACCCTAGCCCCTGTGACCGACATTTGGGAGAAAGGAATGGCGACGATTAAGGCTAGCCTAGTACAGTTGGAAACGATATTAAAAACAAGTGTACCTTCGTGGTGATGAGGTGCAAGGCAGCGTCGTGAACCCTGAGGTTGGTAAACAGATCTTGGAATATCTCAAAAAGTTGGACAAGAGGATTGCAGCTCTAGAAAAGTTAGCTATGGCCAAGAGATGTGGTGTAGTGGAGACTGAAGCGGGAAGTACAGTGAGAAGTGAAACGGAGGGGGGAAGAAAGCAAGAACGAGGATGGGATATCACTGATAAGAAGTCTCCGGTAAATGAACTATCCACTTATAATGGCAGCGTTCAATCCAATGTGGCGGTAGATGTTGGAAAAAAGGTAAAGTAGAAATGGATTACACAAAGCAAAGTTGAAGACATAGTTAACAAAGGTGTTTGCTCCAGGGTTGAGGAGATCCTACGATTAATCACACATATCTGTCGAGGGAGTGGGAGCTGGGAGTTTTTGATGACCCTGTATATAACTTATCTCTTTTACATATTATATTAAGACCTTTGAAAAATGTATCCGTATCTATGTACATACAATAGGAATTTACTAATTTGATTGAATCTATGTAAGAGTGCTTTTAAACTCAGGTCCTTTAGGCATGTTGCATCATCTAGTGAAACTTATGTTAGGCAATGTACACCTCCAGGGTTTAGGACGCCCTACGATTAATAAACACTATGTTCAAACACTATTTGGTTTTAAAAAGCCATGACGTGATGACTTTCTTGAATGACATCATATATTATAACATTAGAACATACGTACCTCATATATGCTCTCTTATTGTTTACACTAACATGCATTGTACATTTCTTTCCGCCTTTTGAAGTGAGAAGATTAATTCAATAGTCCCCCCCCCCCCTTCGGCCTCTCAATCTAATCGCCGAAGTTACATATAACTGAGAGTCTATCCCCCAATACTTTGTAAGTTGATTTCCATAATAAGAACATAAGAATCAAGGTAACCTCAGAAGATAAGTTATCACTTTCACTGATAAGCGACCTCGCCCTTTCTATAGCCTCTTTAAATTTTATTTTTGTATAAAATTTTTCTTGAGCCTCTCCGTCAAAATTTTCTTCCTGAGACTCTTCCATTCCTGACACTTCCCTCTTCTTTACTGTCTTCCCCCTTCCGTCTCATTCCCCCACTTCACTCTCCACTACACCCCATCTGTTTGCCATAGCTAATTTATCCAGAGCTTCAATCCTCTTGTCCAAATTTTTGAGGTATTCCAAGGTCTGTGTACCGACCTCGGAATTCACAACGCTGCCCTGCACATCATCACCACTAGGATACACTTTTCCGCCAGGCTAACCGTAATCGTCGCTGCAGTGCCTTTCTCCCAAATGTTGACACAAAGGCTATCGTTGTCTTAAAGATTTTTCCTCCTTCGGATCTTCGTTTACTCTGCTTGTGGGCGTGAATACTTATGGGAATATTCTGCTTCCTCCACCACGGCTGGGTGTCGACTGATCCTCGTTAGATCCAGAGGATAATGATCCTCATTATCTCATTATTAATATGATTAATAATTGTGTACTGTATAATTTTGTGAGCCCCATAAGGGACCTTAAATAGATAAGGATAGAATTAGCATAAACTACTTTATCCATTTGAGATGTATTTCATTGCCCCAAACTTCCTGAAGAACCTGTCCTCTTAAATTATGTCTGAACTTGGCCGTTTGCCCGTATGGCCGAAATTGGACGTAATTTGAAAATGAAAAATTAAAAATAAATTTTGGATTGTTTGTTTTCCAAAACAGTAAGTTAAGGGTCCTCTGGTAGGTTAGGAGGGCTAGGTAGGTTAGGAAATTCTCATAAAGTTTCAAAACGTCATGAAAAACGTTAATTGAAAGTTTCCTCTCCTAACCTTTCAAAGCCATTCAACATATCTGCAAGCTCATGGAGATAATCCTATAACAAGTAATAATTCATCATCTTACAGTGGACAGTGTAATAAAATGAATACCATGATTTTGTAACACAAATCCTGCCTCACTAACGTGTTAACATTTTTGGAAACGGTAAATAGCTATGCCGAAAAAGGACTTCCAGTAGATTACTTTACATGAACTTCTCTAAAGGCTTTTGATAAGGCACTACATATAAACACTGCAGGAAATTACATGCAAATTGAATAAATTGTAAAATACTAGAATGTAGGAAACAATGGTTAAACAAAGAAAGCAAAGAGGCGTTTTAAAAACAGATGAATCTGCCTGGAAAGATATGGCAAGAGTAGTACCATTACTAACCTTTTGACACATCCATGTGACATAGCTGGGAATATTGCAGACAGCATCAAATTTGCAGATGAAACCAAGCTGTATGGTAAGTAAAACTACATGAACTCAACAAATGGTCAGAAAACTGACAAATGCTTTACTATGTTGAAAATGCAAGATCTTTTAAATACAAGCATTTAGGACATAACAATGAACATAATATCCTAACAACAACTGCCATATCGCAGATTGACGAAAACGACCTATAAGAGTTAGGATCCATCAGTTATTAAAATTTACGTAAATGGGAGCTGCAGTAAACAAAATATTAAACTCTAAGAATAATCAAAAGAGCGTTTGACGTCAAGGAATAAAAAGTGGTTATATATTCAACTCTGGTGTACCCTGGTGTAGGGAGCCGGTCGGCCGAGCGGACAGCACACTGGACTTGTGATCCTGTGGTCCCGAGTGCAGGCGAGAAACAATGGGCAGAGTTTCTTTCACCCTATGCCCCTGTTACCTAGGAGTAAAAATAGGTACCTGGGTGTTAGTCAGCTGTCACGGGCTGCTTCCTGGGGGTGGAGGCCTGGTCGAGGACCGGGCCGCGGAGACATTAAAGCCCCGAAATCATCTCAAGATAACCTCAAGATACCCTATCTAGACTGCTGTGTCCAAGCATGGATACCTCACCTTTAGAAGGACATATCTGCTTTGAAAAGCATTTCAACACAGAACGACTTAAGTCATCCTAGAACTATGTTAACTTTCATACCAAGAACGGCTGAGGACCACAGGACACGACACTACAAACCAGACAGGACAGGGCTGATATCATCAAGATCTTTAAACAACTGAAAAAATTTAAATATATTAACCCCAGACCATTTATTTAAAAGGTCAAATCTAACGCATACACGGGGGTAACAACTTCAAGCTCAACACGCCACAGGTCGGCGTTCAATCCCCGAACGTCCAGGTGGTTGGGCACCATTCCTTTCCCCCGTCACATCCCAAATCCTTATCCTGACTCCTCCCAAGTGCTATATAGTCTTAATGGCTTGGCCCTTGTCCCTGGTAACTCCTCCCGCCCTCCCTCCCGCCAAAGCCAGATACTAAACATCACTTCAGTTTAAAATTCAGCAACTCTCTCCAACACTATATCTGTACGTTCTCTGTTAACAACAGCTATTAATAGACCAAATAGGATGAGATACTTTGAGCTGCGTAACTGATGCATACACTCACGAATACTGCAAGATAATCTTGTGCTCTTCCCAAGAATATACTAGTAGTAGTCTAGTAGCCTAGTAGGAGAGAGTAGACTCACAATTCATGTTCTCTTCTGATTCCACGTGTGACTAGCCACCCTGTGAGATGAGGATATTGTATGACCTTTCAGGTCGCTCGTGATCTATACTCTAATCCTTCTAACAGGCTAACAGCACACGGCCGAGTGTACCCAAGTTAATAACAAAAGATGAACAAAAATCCTGAGGAACAATGGGAGGTTGTAACTTTGAAAAGTCGGCGGGTTATTATCCCAGCCATTCGACTTGAGAATGGTCCAGGACGGACCGAAACGTCGTCGTCCCTTCAACTTCTAGTGTGTGGTCTGGTCAACATCCCAGCCAAGGTCACTAAAGATGGTGGCTCTCATAAATTTTAGTAAATTCACCCATGTGCACTCAAACCATGAATTAACGCACGTGCATACAACCAATTCGCGCATGTGCACACAAACTACTAATTCGTATGCGCACACACAACCACTCATTATTTTCACTCATGCACACCGCCATCATTTCCGCGTGTGCACACAACTCATTCACGGGTGCACACAACCAGTCATTCACTAGTGCTTTTGTTTTTTTAGATTCAGCTACTAGAACAAAATTCCCTTGTATAGTGAACCCGTATTCACGGGTGCACACAACCAGTGATGAGAACACCCCCATCCCCACAGAATGACGCATACACATAATGCGTTCATTCAAAGTCTGAGCACACTCCTTGAAGTGCTACACACACCCATCTCTCTCACGCCTTCAAGTGCTACATACACACCCATCTCTCATACTCCTTCAAGTGCTACACACACCCATCTCTGCTCCCACGCCCACACACATATTCATTGAGATATACATATTATATATTTATTGACTATTTTAATGCCGAAAATATATTTATAATATTTCTTTGACTCGGGGTTACATTAAAGTTTCCGTGTATCCCACTGTTCGTATATGCTTTCACACCAAATGATATGGAGGTATTTATGTTGAGCTATTTAACTGTACTTCATATACTCACGAATATTGAACGATATTCTTGTCCCCAGCCAACCCAGAGTTTGCTAGTACAGGTTTGTAGATTAGACTCGGATTTCACGCTCTCTCCTGATTCTATGTATGATTAACCATCCTGTGAGATGGGATTACTTAGTGATATCAGGAGGACGGGTTGAATATCCGATGAACTCATAGCTCGTTTTTGATCTACACTATTCAGCATGAAAGATTACAGTGTAGCAGCACATTGTTCTGTATATCTTTGTTAATACAAAATTAGAAGTTTCTATGCTAATACTGTAACAGGGTCGAATGAAGAACTTGTTATCTATGCTCAAACAATGCAAGCCAAGAAATGAACAAACAATTGATTGATGAAGATTAAGCCACCCAAAAGGTGGCACGGGCATGAATAGCCCGTAAGTAGTGGCCCTTTTAAGTCATTACCAGTATCAATAGATGATACTGGAGATCTGTGGTGCGACTGCACCCTGCGTGACTGGAGATATCTCCCGCCCCAAACAATTAAGAGCTGTCAGTATTATAACTGGGCAGATGTCACTTTATGGGCTACTCATGCCCGTGCCACCTCTTGGGTGGCTTATCTTCATCAATCACTCTCTACTTCTGTGATTCTATTACTCAAGAACAGAATTTAATATAAGACAAAACCAATGGCAAACAAAAACTAATATTTGATTTTAGTTTGAACTCAGAAATACAAAAATGCATAAGATCAAACACAAGACAATAGACATCCTGCCTTATCCCCCGGGGAAATGACATTGATATAACATTGAATCAACGTTGATTAGGCGTTACTCGAGCATGTTTTGCCCGCTGCGGATCGATATATAATTACATATACTGTATATCTCACAGCTGTCTCTCACACCTGAAGTGTAGTGTGCCTCAGCCCTGAGGTCCGTGTCACACTTACTGACCAGCGATCTTACACTTCATAACTTACACCTTAGTTACTAATTAGCACACTGTTTCCCTCCTCACTTCTCATGTACTCTCAATTAATTTTTTTTAAATCATATTAATTCAGTCAATCCTCAGACCAAATCCATTACCGTGGAACCCCCCCCCACACTCAAACCACCTGGATAATTATCTACATATTTGTGATGGTCTGAAAGCATACTACTGTTCCAGTAACAGTCTACCTAAACTGGTAAATGAACGTTTGTCATAAACGGAAGTTATTCTCAAGTTATAACTTTAATGCAATAGAAATTGTTGGTTTAAAATATAAAGCATATGCCAAAAAGTTATTTTTTAAGAATTTGGTTTTCTGTAAGTGGAATTCATGGGCACACTGAAACAGTTTTCGAGTTCTATATTTCACATTATCGGCAATAATATATTGTATTAAATGTAATGTAATGAGGGGGAGAGAGAGAAAAAGAGAGTGAGGGGGGGAGAGAGAGGGAGTAGGGAGGGAGGGAGAGAGAGGGGGGAGAGAGGGGGAAGGGAGAGAGAGGGGAGAGGGAGAGAGGGGGAAGGGAGAGAGAGGGGAGAGGGAGAGAGGGGGGGAGGGAGGGAGAGAGAGGGGGGAGGGAGGGAGAGAGAGGGGGGAGGGAGGGAGAGAGAGGGGGGAGGGAGGGAGAGAGAGGGGGGGAGGGAGGGAGAGGGGGTGAGTGAGAGAGGGGGGGAGAGGAGAACGAGATGGGGGGGAGGAGAACGAGATGGGGGAGGTAGAGAGGGGGAGGGAGAGAGAGGGGGGGGGGGGAAGAAAGAAAGGAAGAAAAAAAGGAAGGAGAGAGAGGAGGGGCTTGTTCCCTGTTGTCCTTGATAACAGTAATCACATGTATAAAAGTGCTGTACACTTTATAAGTTCAAGTTTACACTATGTTAATTATTCTTCCTGGTGACTACTTCATTTATAAAATTTTGACTGCTATATCTATTTCCAGAATGTGGACAATTGTTTTTGGAGTGGTAGCATTTGTAGTGTTTGCCTTGGCTGTTATGGCAGCAGTTTTTGGCCACATATACAGGCTCCGGGCAGGCTACACAGCCTGTGTGGTTAGCTTGAAAGGCAAAACTATAATAGTTACTGGCGCATCTGCTGGTAAGATGGATCTTGCTTTGTAATGATTCTACTAGATGTAAACTGAATAAATGCTAAATATCCTACACAGTACTGTATATAGCTATTATATGTATAGTATATTACTGTCCGTTTAAGTTATCCCCTTCAGGAGGGTGCCCTCTAGCTGTGTGTGTTTGCAATTCTGCAAGAATATACCACACACAAAGATAGTTAAAAGTTGCACACATGTAATTATAAATATTTAAATAATTCAATGCAATTAAAATTTAATTGAGAAAGTCTCAAACTATTTAAGCTTATATACTGTCCTAGATGTCATACAATGAGCACCATTATTTTGAAGTGAATCCAAATGCATGGTGGCTACTATTGGAATATATTTTAACTTAGCTGCAAGAAATATTCTTGTGAATGATCATCTTAAAACATGTACTGACATAAAATAACCCTTGTTCAAGTTTGTTAATTCTTGATCACTGGAAATTTGTATATTAATTTTATCCTCACTTCAGGTGTTGGCAAAGAGGCAGCAAAGGACTTTGCACATCGTGGCGCTCGTGTCATCCTGGCTTGTAGGAACTCTACAAAAGCTACTAGTGTTGCTGGTAATTATTCTCTTAGGGAACCACGAAGGAAGTATCTTGTACAATTAGACTTTGAGAGTGTATATTATCTAACTCTAGTCAAGTGCATGGTGTCCTATTTTTCTATTCCTCATTATTCACCGTTTGAAAACTACCACCGGTGTTGGCATACCCTACCATACAATATAGTGATCCTTAAATTTTTTTGATCATGTATGATCATGTTTTTGATCATGTATGTTCTTAATTTATAGGTGAAAATTACTATACATTCATGTTATATTTAGTCTATATATCTATGTTGCAAGCAGTGTTCTGAACATGTAAAAATTAGTTACATATGAAATATAAATAGTGTGAGGAAAACTTAGGGGAATGAAAGTGAGACAGAAGAAAAGTGTGATGGGGGGATGAGGAGTGGTTGGGGGGATATTAAAAGTATGTACAGTACCTGGCTTTTGAGAGCTTGGTCCAACAGACTTGATTAGAGCGGCCCGAAGGCCCACATGTCCACCACAGCATGGTTGGTCCGGCACTTCTTGAAGAAAATTACTGTAACTAGTTTTATCTTGAAAATGTCCATGTTTGTTCCAAAAATATTTCTTATACTTGCTGGGAGGATGTTGTACAACTGTGGACCTCTGATGTTTATACAGTGTTCTTTGATTGTGTCTATGGCACCCCCTGCTCTTCACTGGTTCTATTCTGCATTTTCTTCCATTCATTCACTCCAGTTTGTATGTTGTTATTTTACTGAGTAGATTTGGGACCTGGCTTTCCAGTATATTCCATGTACAGTATATATTATTTGATATCTCTCTTGTCTCCTTTCTAGAGAATACATTTGGGAAGCTTTGAGATAATCCCAATAATTTAGGTGCTTTTTCGTGTCCATGTATGCTGTATATACTCTCTGTATTCCCTCTATTTCAGCAACCTTCCCTGCTCTGAAAGGGGGGAAGCGGGTCTTTCATTGCACCGAGTAATAATTGTTGTCTATCCACCAGAGGACATTCAGTCATGTACGGGTAACAAGGACGTGGTAGTGAGGCAGCTTGATACATCCTCCCTGCTATCCGTTAGAAATTTTGCCAAGAGAATTCTTGCAGAAGAAGAGAGGTAAGACAGGACAAGTGTTGAATTGTTCCCTTCTAATTTGTTGTTGCTACATTTCCAAACAACATCCAGCATGCTAATACCATAAAATATACTTGCTAAATTTTTTTTTTAACTTGCAATTAAACAAATTTGCTATAATGAGAGTAAAGTATTCTACTGTACTGTTAGAGTTTCACTCAAGAACTTGGTGCATAATTTAATTGGACTGGCATTGGATTTTTTGCATTAATGCACAGTATCTCTTCAATTGTTTTTCTTTATAATGAAATAGCTTGGAAGTGCTTTCTATAAAACCAATTAGAAATTTGTAGATCATCTGGGGGCGACCTGTGTATAACGTACATCAGTATTTTTCCTTAACATTTTGAAAATACTGTATTTACTGTTATTCACATTACTGTAATAAATAATAATTTTGTTTATAGTAAAATAGTTTGCATGGGCTGATGTACTAAAGATTATTCAATATAAATTGTATATACAGTATTGAACAGTATGAAGAGAGGGTCACTGATGACCTGGCACCTGCATACACCATTCTCAACTCGTTTAATTACATTTTCTGATATTTATGTTCAGTAGTCAAGCCTACATGCTTTCCCCTATTTTGGCCACTTGTCAATGCAATAAACAGTACATTAGTAAGAGAAAATCTTTGGAGCAGAATAACATGACTGGATACCAGCTCCGTGCCTCCAAATTCATAGCGGGTTTGGGTAGATTCCTGAATGAGTAACTTTTGAGCATGTCTTGATCTATGGGGTAAGGCTCATATCTAGTGTGACACAGGATAGATTCATTCCCGCTGTCCTCCTCCAAAGGTTTTCTCATAGATATACTGTATCACGTTATTGTGATTTCATTGTGTAACACAGTACTATTCTTAGTAAATACATTAATAGAATGTTTCATACTTAACAAATATTGTAAATCCAAGTGTTTGAGGAAATTGTATGAGAAAAATAAACACCTGAATTACCTACTCCAATGCACACACAAAACCTGTTCTTGTCATGCATAATACACCTTATAATTGTAACTCAGTATGCAGTTCATTCAAATGTCTAAGATTATTTATTGAGGCTTGTGAAAACCTCCTTTCTGAGCATATAATTTTTCCACTCCCAGAGGTATAACATTCTTGTTCATCTAAATGGCTCACAATTAGTCAGGCAAGCTGGCACCTAGTCACTCTTGCAACAGAGGTTACTATGCCTTGCAGATTATACGTGGTACCTGGGCAACTGGTTCTGGACAGTGCTAAGCACTTTTATGTATAATTTCCCCAAGGCAAAAAACTGATGTACTAAAATTGGTAGCAGTTCGCAAAATTGATGTGATGTTTCGTTTTCTGTTCGTGAGTCTTCGGGTAGGTTAGGTTCGGGCCATTTAGTACAACAGTTTATTGATTTTGGGAATGCTTGGGGATACAAGCTGACTTGGGAGCATTGTAGACAAAATCTATGGATTCAAAATCAACAGAGGTTCTCTCATCTGTTCACAAACTCAAGTACAGTACTGTAATGGTTTTATATCAAATCAAAGATTGGAAGAGGTCTTCAGAGGTGAAGCATTATTTCTGAATAAATATTACAGTGCTCTCAGCTTATCTTTTGTTTATAAAGGTGTCAATATGCAAGAATATACCTGTATAATACACACAACAAAACCATAACGAGTCATAAATTGTAAATAGTTTTTGGAGCAATACAGAACACAAGTTTTATAGATGTAACTTCAGCCTGTCCCTCCATACACTTACTTCACCCTAATGTAAAATTTACCTCACACTTTTTTAAAATAAACTGCAGATGTGCAAAAAGTGTTATCTGATGCTAAACAAACTGCAGGTCACTCATATGTAGACAAGCCAATGTTAAGTATTTCTAAATACATATTCTCTGAATGTCTCATGAATCCTTTATTTTTTTTTCAGATTAGATGTACTGGTACTGAATGCTGGTATTGGAGGTGTAGGTAAACGATGCTTGACTGAGGATGGCCTTGAGCTTACCATGGCAACCAACCATTTTGGACATTTTCTCCTTGCTAATCTCTTACTAGGTTAGAATATTTTTCTTTATGAAAACATTTTCTGCTTTTAATTTATTATTTATTTATTTATTTATTTATTTATTTATGCATATACAAGAATGTACATAAGGAATGTGAGGATACAAATATGGTAATTACAGTCTTGTAAAGCCACTAGCACGCGCAGCGTTTCTGCCCGAAACGCTGCGCGAATTGTAACATGAAATATCTTGAGGTGTATAGATATATAATCATGCATTTGTTTCCTTCAAATTCGAGTACTGTACTGTACTAGTTTTCTATTGTAGTTCAGATTTTTAGTGTACAATGTATGTGCTGTACACTATCATAAATAAATGTTCTTAATATAATTTTAACCTAAATATTCACTTCATAAAGCATCACAAATATTTATATATACTCTGTAATATTCTCTAAGCAGTGGAATTGCAAGCCAACTACCAAGGAAGGGAAGCCTAGCCCACAGTTGAAGTGAATTACAAAGCTAGGGCACATATTGTGGGTGATATGAAATACAATTGTGAAGAACACAGGACACAATAATGAAGCAATGGCCTCTGATGGAACTAATGTCCCAGAGATACCAACACCACTTAACTAAACTACAAAGTTGAGGGTTGGCCCCATCAGTGGTTACATGCCCCCTGAAGCTATGACCAGGCGAGTGTGTGAGGAAGCTGGCTGACTGGGACCCAGGGTAATCTGGGTTGCCACCAGGTGGCAGTCGAGGGTAATTGGGTTGCCACCAAGTGGCATTTAAGGATCAACTGGATCTCGGGAGCCTCTCTCTCAGCCACTAAAAAAGAGGCACAACACAACACTCAAGAACTGTCATTGAAATCATTGTCCCTGTCCAACATTTTCTGAATGTGGACATGAAGTAGTAGAGTAGATGGTTGGCCAGAACCCAAGAACACTCACCCAGTTTATAGTCCCTCGGAGACCATCAAAGACACCCAAACATCCCTAGTCCAAGCCCTCTGTGAAGTATGCAGACGATTCCCATGCTAGCGGCAACAGCCAATGTGAGCCAAACTTATATGAGAGCAGTGAGGGGGAGATGAAATAGGACGACGACAACCAGGGCCGATTGCCTGCCCTCCCTCCCCCTTATTCCACCACCACAACTCAAAGTCGAATACTCAAACCCTAAAAAGAAAAGGATCCAATTTAGATGCAAGAACCTTAATCAGCAATATAAGGAATAGCAAATAAAGTCTGAAATGTGAAGGAACTGGTTTAATTTTCAGGGCTAAATGACCGAGCAGTTTCATAAAAAAAAATATTTGACTTAATTAACCTGCACTGGATTGTTGACATTCATTATTTTATATTTCACTGGTTTCTTGGCTTCTAGAAGCCATTTAATGAGTGTTCTTATACATAGCAACTGGTACATACCACTATTTTCTAACCTCATTTCATTCTTTCTTCATATCAATAAACCTTTATATATAGTAAATTTTCCTTCATTTTTCTCTCTAATTTGTTCTAACATTCATCAGGACTGCTAAAGAAGAGCACTCCCAGTCGAGTGGTGGTGACATCATCAATGGCTCATTCCCACCTCAAGACATTAGACCTAAAGGTAAATATACCCTACTTGTGAACTACAAAAATGCTACATTATATAATTCTCTATGAACTCAACATACACACTCATAATTTGCAAGTTTACAGTATCAGAATAATACTTTATATTCAAACTTGATAATTTTGACAATTTTTCTTTTTCTTACAGAATCTGAATTATGAAAAGGGTAACTACTCATTGTTACAGGCCTATAGCCAGTCGAAGGCCTGCAACATTCTGTTCACCCGTTATTTAGCGGAAATGATGAAGGAAACTGGTGAGTACAGCAAATTATACTGCATCTATCTGACTTAGTCTCATAGATCCAGCTATAGATTACAAGTAAGAACACTTATAAATACTTGCACACGAGACCTAGTATAGCACAACTATATTTTTAAACTCTTGTACTATGCCTTTGAGACCTATCAAGAGCCGGGACCAAAATCTGGCTTTCTCTATGAGGTGAGAGGAGCTTGGGAATTAAGGATAAACCTAAAACAGAGAAAGCAAAACAAAACAAAATAATTGCATCAAAATATGAAACTGTTTAAAAAGAAATAAGTAACCCTGAGAAAAACTAAAGCAAAAAAATTGTTGCCACTGCGTAAACATCGCAGCAGTATAAGTGCTTGACTGCCACCAGATAGCAGCCCAGGTCATTCAGGGTCCTACATTGTTATATACCTCATAATACATCACATATTAATTTCTACATGATATTTACATTTACCCACAAACCACATATACATACATACATGCATTTATTAATTTTCATTACAAAGAAGGCAGTTTGGCCTTGAACCTTTGAACTAGTGATTGCTAGATGTTTGGCTGTACATTAAATGATTTTCATTTTTTTTTTAGTAAGTAATTATCAAATGGTACCAAGAAGGCTATTTATCACTGTCTATGGTACAAACACTCACACGGAGTCCTAGATATTATTCAGGCCAATATGAGACCAAAAAAACACAAGATGAGCAATGTCAAGGATATCAGATTCACCAAAGGTTGTATTGAGGGCCAAGTGACTTAACAGGGCAGTGGGAAAGCAAAATCTCCGAGATCAACCTGGGCATCTTGCAAAATTAAAATGTTAACTCAAGGGAATGACTACTTTTTTTATTGGTTGTGCAATTGAAATTGATATTGAGAGAGTTAACCTTTTCTTATATAGCTTGAATGTATTCTTTGGGATAATGCCTCATTTAAATTGGAAATTGGGTAATATGATTTTTTTTTTTTTACTTATCTCAATATGTACAGTATACAGTATCTTACATTTTATTACACTGAAACTTATATATGCAACAATTGATAACATTTTTCTTTTGGCCTTATAGGGATAGTCGTGAATGCACTGTGTCCAGGTTTGGTAGCAACAGAGATCTTCCAGAAATCTGGTGGCATCCTATTTGGGAAGATATATCGAATTCTCAGTCCCATTCTGGGCAAGGTAGGAAAAAGAAAAAAAATTGAGTGCAATGGTGAGTGTTTGAAAGTACAGTACAGTATATTGTGAATGTGTGAAAGTTAAGTTTATACAGTATGCACATTTTGAGTGTGTGAAAGTATGCATATGAAATTATATAATGAAATTACAACGCGTATATGATCATTGTATAAATAACAGTGTGGATTCCAGTTGTCATGGACAGGAAGCCTGCACCAGGACCTAGGCTGACAGAGGTCCTCCTGGGCCAACTGTTTACCTTCCCCAGGATGCAACCTACAAACAGTTGCGGGACTCCGGGGTGCCCATTTACCACTAGTTGAAAAGAAACATTGGCAAAACCATGGGAAATGAACCCATGGTTTACTGTATGCCCAGTGGTAGTACATATTGCTGTTACAGGTCCTGATTTACCTTGTTAGTTTTCCACAGTATTTACTGCTAAAATGAATTTTTTAAATTAATTTTGTTTAATTCTTCTGAAGTGTTACATGTTTCTTTCTGTTTAGTCTTTCACTGTCTTGTAACTTTGATGTTAATCTTTTTCCTACTCCTTAATGTCTCAATCCTCAAATAAGTTATTTTCTTTCCTAGCTGCCAAAATTATTAGATTAGTTTTTCACATTGTACTCTGTAGTAATTTGTGGCTGCTTGAAATTTCCTTAGTTATTACTAATGTTAAAAGCTGTATTGATATCTTGAGCCACCAACACCTGCTCTGAAGTCTCTTGATCCTTCCTTGTCCACTTGTCCATAGTTATGTTCAAGATTTACATTCTTCCAGTTTCTCAGTTATATATTTTATATACTTGCACATAGTCTAACAATTTCTACAAAGCTTCTGTAATGACTACTTGTATCCAAGCTTTAAGTGCAGCAGCTTACTTTTCACCCCCTAAGATTCCTTAATTACAGTACTACATCCTTACAAGCAATTCTTACTTCTCACACTCACCTGCTGTCAGTTTGTTGCTTCTTGCTCTTCTTCCAGTCACTTTAATCTTGCCCACAAACAAGTAATTGCTGATTGGTCTTCACGTTTACTCTAAAACTCTGTATCGGTTGTGTCCCAAGTCGTGTATCTTCCTGCACTTGGTCCACCACCTCACTGCTTTACACCCACACTGGTCACTTATGGTCTGGTCTACCTGCTACATTGTAAACAAAGATGGCCACCACTCATTCTTGTTTACTAATGACTGATCAGTTCTTGGGACACCAATAACACACTTCAAATTACCTGCCCCATGTTGTTAAATTGTTTTGTTTTTATTTTTTAAAGAGAACAAAAAACAAAAATGAAAAAATGTTTCAAGAAAAACTACTACTATGTAGCTGAAAAGGAGAAGCCAGTGAATTCTACTGAATTCATTCTAGCAAGCTCTGATTACAACCTGTCAGCTGTGTCCGGTGTGCAAAAATGTATAGGCAAAAGGGATTAATAAAGTTGAATCGGTGTCATCTTTTTCTTGTGAATATGATGATGATGAAATGTTGGCCCAAGAAACTACTCCTGGTGCTGAAACCACTGACTCTATTATCTTATTCTTGTATTCAGTTGAAATGTTTGACAATTCTCAGAGTTTGGTGGGATTTTCATACTAGTCACATTTGTTGAAATTCTAAGACTGTTGAACTGTGTCAGAATAAGTTGTTTATAGATTCTAAGAGTGTTAACATTTTAATATTAAAAGCATGAAGTTCATTTAAGTAATTTTGCTGTTCCTTCTGCCACTTCTGCAACTGTCTTTACCCTCACACTTACTGATATATAACAATATTGTATATTTCATGACTGATTTGTATGTAATATCTTAGGATCACATGTAGTATGAATTTAATGGTAATTATTTAACCTTGGACAGACTGCATTGCAAGGGGCCCAGACAATTATCCACCTGGCAATCTCAGAAGAAACTGCTAAGATTACAGGGGAGTTCTTTGAGGATTGTAAGGTTAGTAATCAAACTAGAGATATTTATGGCTGCCATTTGCTGTTGAACTGCTACAATTATGGTGATACAATCATCAAACAGATCACAGTGAATAGGTACAAATTCTTGGTGAACTTGAATATGGCTTTTCTCCATTTTTCTCCAGCAAAAAATTAAGAAAAGCTCAAATGAATCTGAATTCTGGGTAAAATGGAGCAGGTAGAAAACTAGATAATTCGTAACAAGAATGTGCGTGGCAACACACTGTATTGTAGATCGCAGCATTGGCAACATAAACTATGTTAATGGATTTTATTGTATATATGCTGTAGGTTTAGAGCACATAGCTTAGTGTCACAAATTTTAAGTTACAGCTGTATATTTTAATAGTTTTAATATTAATAACTTTTTTTTTTTTTTTAACAGATATCAGATAATATATCACCACTGGTCTGTGATGCAGGGTTGGCCAAGAAGGTGTGGGAGGCCAGTGAGGCTTGCGTTAATCTCCAGCCAGAGGAACACAGCTACTAAAAGATGCATCTGCTTTAATGATAAATTCAGATGAGACACTACATGAACAATGTAACAAATAAGAACAAAAGATGCTAAATGAAAAATGTTAATATTCTATTTTGCATCAAGCACTTTTTAGCTCATGACATTAACAAAATAATCTGTGGTTTCTTGTATAATGTTTGTTAGACTTTATTTCTAATTTTTGACTGTCTACAGTAACATTAATTGTAAGTCTTGAAAACATAAAAGCAGCCCAGTTTCCCCGAGTGGTGGCACTAACTGCTGCAGCTGTGGCCCCAATAAAACACCAATGGGAATTATCATGTGTTGATCCCACAATTGTTTTTAGTTGTGAGGATAATATGAAAGTTAATTAATAGACAGTTGCTTGTGTAAAATGTGTCTTGCCAGACATAAGACAAGTAATGTTCAACTTTCTATATGGATTAAAAAGAACAAGTAAACAAAACGGGTATGTGATTAGCTGTTGGTTTATAAAAAGTTGGAAAACCTTGCAAAATATGCAAGAAATAGAAATTGGAAAAAGTAGAAAATAATTACAATTTTTAAAAATATCTGAAAGATAGCTCGGAGAACTTCATTTTGTTCTACTCTTATCTATTAGCAAACTGTACTGTAAATTATAGAAGGAACTTTTTTAACAAGATACTGTAGTAGTATAATTATAATTTTTTTTAATGAACTTTATATATATATATGCATGCAATAAATATAAATTTGATGTAGTAATCTTAATTACCTCAGATTAGAATTTTTCCAAGGATGACACTTTCTGATTCAGTCCAGCAAGTTCCTGAAGTAAATCCCTATCGTCACAAGATTACAAACTTCACACCGGTTCACAAATATCCAGCCAAATGAGGGATATTTCAGTCTACTTTCCTTGAACTCCAAACCTAATTAATAGATTAGCTCTCACTTTGACTCCTGGACTTAATTAAAAGGTGGACATCCTAAACCTTGCATGGAAAAAGCCTTTAAAAAAATTCAAGCCAATACTGTATTGGAAAATTACACACAGTATTAGGAAAATCTACAATGACAAGATTGTTATTAAATCTTATTTCTATCAATCTTAACAATACTGTATATAAAATACATACCATTTCTACCTGCTGAACATGTAATGTAGAACAGTCTTTTTATTTTTAAAGAGCTAGCAACTTTAATATATTAGTAAATAGTTGACCTTTATTAAAGATGAAAATCAAATAATGTTTAATGCATTTTAGTTATGACAATGGATTAGGATTTAAACAATACCTTAAGATTTCATATTCTAACAGTACCATATTTGGTATATTCATATAATACTTACAATACCACTTGGCAGAGGTATTTCCAGTGGTTCTCACTGCAGTTTGGAGTAATTGTTAACACCAGGTTTTTGTTTGGTTACATCTTTGGGAGAAGCTGATGTTGCCTAACAGCACCCGAGCAGTTAAGCACAAAGAAAATTGATAAAAATGATAGGTTGAGTGGACACCATATTTAATTTCATTAAGATTGTTTCATTAACCAATTCTTTCCCAAGTAATCTATTTTGTGCTGATGAGGCCTATGGGATGAGGGCAAAATGGTCATGTCCCTTCCTAGTGCACCAAGCCATGGGCACTTTTCTGTGTTAAACTGCATGGGGATCATCTGTAACCACAAAGATTTTCATCATTTGTTTAAGTTAGTTTAACAAGCTGAAACAGGGAAGAAGAAAAGGAAATGCTAAATATTAAAGAAAAGCTGAAATTTATTGACACTTTAGCACGAGCCAAGTGCCACAGGCATGGCGAAGGAATCAGTAGACTTGCCTGCAGTTGTGCACCTTTCACTATAGACGCAAGAGACAGTGGGCCAGATTCACGAAGCAGTTATGAAAGTACTTACGAACGTGTACATCTTTCCTCAATCTTCGACGGCTTTGGTTACATTTATTAAACAGTTTACTAGCATGAAAACTTGCCAATCAACTGTTGTTATTGTTATAAACAGCCTCCTGATGCTTCAGAGCTCATTAACTGTACTTTCTCAGATGCGAGTACAATGGACATATTGAAGTTCGCTACTAACAGTGACAGTCTTGTTGCTAATACCTTTAATACACAAAGCATAGGAACGTGACAAAGCTTAGTACAAGTAGTTTACCCATCAATGGACTCAAAGTGTTGCGATTGGTCAAGAGCCCAATTTTGCTTGCTGATTGAAAAAGTTTGCTGGTACCTGGGGATCTCACACTTCAATGCAAGAAAGGCATGCTACCAGTTCCAGGAAGCTCTTAGGTGAAGGTTTAAGTGTAAATACAGACTGTGTCGATACAATTCATACAAAACACAAGATTTTTCTAATTAAAGTATTTCAAAATTGTAAAGATGATATAATTCAACTGGAGACGCTCACAAAGTAAGGCTTCAGCATGTCCAAGGTTGCAAAAATTGAAGAGAAAGAATTATAGCCTTAGTTTATGTTACTGCAGATGAGTCACTAAAACAAAATAAGCAATTGTACTCAATGAGGAAGGGGGGGGGGTGAGGGGTGGAGATGCCAGCAGAGAGATAAATGGTCATGTGCCTTTGCGTATAATTTATTACTTGTCTTCATCATCTGTCAAATTAGGAACACACATAAAAATACTAAATATTTACAAGTAATTTCACATATTAATTAGAACACTGTACAGTATTACAAGCTTACATTACTATTATCAACTTTCTGCTTTTCTTAATTGCTTGTTTAATCTTTTTTCCATTTTCTGCTTTTTCTTCTCTGCCTTCATCTTCTTAAACGCTGCCTTTACTTTAGCCACGTCTTGCACCTCGTATGTGAAATGCACAGATGCTTCCATCCCTGGTAGGACTTTGAGATGTGTTGTGATGATGGACCTTCCTTCCATGTAGTCTTTAAAGTCATCATCAGCAGCAATCAGATCTAACGCTGCATCAGGGGTCAAGTGGTCCAGTATCTTCCTGGCCACTTTCACCTCACGTGTCTCTTTGCCAGGTATCTGTGACAAAAATGTATATAATGCAGCATCAAAGATCTGTTAAGGTCAAGGTGAAGTCCACTGCAGACTAACAATATTTTTAACAGTTTGATAACCATTACCCCAAAGCTATCATCCATACATAAGACAATAACATTTTAAATATTCTATTATTTATCCAATATTCTTTTGTGTCATTTAAGATATATTTTTTAAATTAGAGAAATACTGGATATGTAAAGACATGTGTTAAGAAGCATTTTCGTATTATTTATTTACTTAATAAACCCTGTCAGCAATTGAAAAAGGTATCCGTAGGCCAGCATCTCAGGCCACAGAGGCGTAACCAGCACAGGGAACTTAACAATTACAAGCTGGTGTAACACGTACAGGCTGGTGTAATATGCATAGGTTGAAGTAATGAGCATTAAAATGGTGGTTTCAGCAGTGAATATAATTTGTATTGGCAGATGGTGAATGGTGATGGTGAATGAAGGTGAAGATGGAGGCGACAGAAAATGATGATTGCAGAAGACGGACGTAGGTAGTAGTGGAGGTGCAGGATGATTGATTTAATGACTGGAGGGAGATAATATGGATAGTGAACAGTATGGTACTGACGGGAGGGGTAAGTTGGCGTTATGGATGCCAAACTGCACTAGGCTATACAGTATAAACAAATTGAAATTGGGCCACACTCTTGCAACGACTGAAAATAAGTACAGTACAGTGCTATCTTGAAAATCCGGATCTGCACAGAACAAATCAAATCTTCCCCAGCCAGGTGGCTGTTAAAATAAGGTGTGATAGTGAGAAGAGCATCTGGAAGTTTGTCTGATCTGATGTCTGATGTTTGTTGTTAGTCTTGTTCAAGATGACATTAAGTGGTGAAAGTGTAATCATCCCGCATACAGATCCAAGAGGTGAAAGAGTATTAACAATGAATTAAATGGTATCTACTGTACTTGAATATATACTGTACAATACCAGTACTGTATTAGTATAACATGGATTTCAGCTGAATAAATATTAGATTTCTTCCATAATATTCCACAAAATTTTGATGTGTTAGTCAGGTTTTCAATAGACTAAGTTTAAATTATACTAACCGAATACTTAAGAGAAAGAGAGTAATCTTGATCAACTTCAGGCCAAGACTGCTCTACTACAGGAAGGTCCTGAAAATGAAATTATAAATTACTCCTCGGTACATTACTTTCAAATGCAGGCTTAAAAGTATATATATTTATATATATATATGTACCCTACAAACTAATTTAATAAGGAAATACTAGTTAAATCATATGCAGTACTGTATAACACCCACACAGCTTAATAATGTAAAAATTTTCTAAAATAAGTGAATTAAGAGACATGACATATACAGACGTGTTTGGTGTGTGGAGAGGTAGCAACACTACAGTATCCTGCCCACAGTTCACTAGCGAAGTGAGGAGTTAAGGGGGCCAGCATAATTATTAATGCTCCCAATGTCAACTCAAATTCCTCGCTTAATGCACAGCACCTTGGTACTTTCTGAAAAGAGAATTTGTAAATGTAAATTAAACTGTTGTATATAAATATGCTTACATTATTATTTATCTTCAATGTGAAATATTATAAATGTTAAAAGAAGTCAAGTTTTCTTGACAGCATCCACTAAACATCAGACTAGCACTGTTTTACTATAAATATTATAACACAAACATTATTGACTCCTGCAATCACATTAACACGAGACGAGTCAGATCTCCTCTACGGCAAAGTCAAAGTAATGTGATGCAAGTTAGTAAGAGGTTAATTCACCAATTATAAATACAGTATCTATAGTGGAGGCAAATACTTATTCTAGCCAACTAGGAATCATCAAACATAGCTAAAATAGCATATAAGAGCAAGAGCAAATTTTTGCCGAGCAAATTTTAAAACTTATTTATAAGATCTCTGAGGAAAATGCCAAGTGGGAGCAGGGATTTTATTGTGAATAACCAATCAGTCATAAGGGCACGTGACCAAACCATTTGTCCACAATCAAATTTCTGCTTCCTTATCCGGTTTTAATCAAAATTGGCATTGGTGGTTGTTCTATGGCTTGTAATATTGCACTATTTTAAAAAATATATACCTGTACTGTACATATAATGAATGAGGACATTTAAAGTATTCTTCCAAGATTTTGAATGAGTTTCAAATTAGGAAACACTTTAAATGTATTGTATTTGAATACATGTAAAGACAGACTCACCCGCAGATTGCCAGTTAAACCCTGCATGTATGAGATAGCAACACTCAACTGATGAGTATGTTCAAAATGAAAAGTAATGCTTTGAAGGTAACGGTTGCGGCTCTCCCACAGGAATTTATCATGTTCCTGAGCTTCTTCTGAGCTGTAAGATGCAATAAATCATATATAAAAAGGTTGTCATAAAATTATATTTGGTAGCAATAATCTTACTCCCTACAGGGAGTAGGATATTCTAGGTAGATTAAATTCATGATACGAGAAGAATTTATATGTTCCATACAAAGGATGTTCCAGACACGATCCTCCAGCCAAAACTATTTGTCCTATGGCAAACAGAATTGCAAAAATAACATCTTTATTTTTAAGTACATGAAAACCTGATGCAGTATGGGGCCAAATTGGAAGTACTGAAAAGTCTTGGGCCTTTGAAGTTGATCAAGTTTTCTTTCAATGTAAATATTGCCCCTCTACTTTTCAATGGCAACTTTGCACATTCAGCCATGCCTTCTAGTCTCATGTGATGTTATTTCTGTGCAGGAAAATACAAATATTCCTAAGCCCTACCCACACCATCAAGGGCCCAAGACTTTTCAATACACTCCCTCTGTATATAAGCAGCATAACTAACTGACCTCTTATGTTCAAAAGAGAACTTGAAAAATGCCTCCAAACAATACATGATCAACCAGGCTGTGATTCCTATGTCAAGACTGTGTGTGAGCAGCAGCATCTAACAGCCTGGTTGACCAGACTACCAGGAGGCTTTGTCAGAAACCGAATTGCAGGGACATTGATTTCCGGAACCGTTACAGGGTAATTGCAAGGTTGGCCTACACAACAAGAGTCAACCAATAGTTATTATCAATCATGAAATATAATATTTCAAAATAAAGATGTATTATACAGAATTCAACATTATCTGATAAATTAGTTGGCCTACTTTAAGCTCAATTCATACTATAATTTTATAATGCATAATGTGGAGGCAATACAGACCACCCCAACTGAGTAACATACAGCAGTTAAAAATAATTCTACCTTAAAGACATTCCGTTGCTCTCTTCTTTATTCTTTCGGATGCGTATAAAATCCGAAACAGTCAACCACAGACGTTTCTGCCAATTAAGGATGCCAGGAAACGCTACAACATAAAATACAAAATTAAATCTAATTGGGATCTGAAAAACTGAACAAAAATCTCCAATAGATACAATAGAAGGTATTGACAACCTAAGATGTGTATCAAGTACAAAGAAATTATTGCATAGAATTTTTCTAGATTCAAAATGACAACACAATTTTCAATATTATTTTTTATAATTTCTAAAATGTATGAAAATCATTCATCTTCATGGCAATAATAATGCACAGTACATTAAAATGCAGAACCAAATCTTGACCAACTTACTTTCCTCAGACCAGTTTCTTTGCGATGAAGGAGCAAAGTTGGCTAACATCAGCAGTCTGGTGGTATCTGTACCATATTTCTGTAGAACTTCCTGTAAAATATCAACGTCATTGGTATCATAAGCAAATATTCCCCCTAACTTTTAGGCAAGGTCTCCAATTTCAGCTCAACTCACAAACAAGTTAAATTAGAAGGAACATGTCTACATAATCCTACAGGATGAAATGGTACTTGGATTGTGTACAATGAGAAGAATTAATATTATGACAATCCTTTGACCTGCCTGATAATAGTGTCCTAGAGGTAACTGATATCAGCTGATTGGCTACTGGCCATACATAAAATGTTTATTATAATAAAGAGTATTTGTAATTTTATGCCAAATTTTGCTAGTCTGTATGTGGGCACTGCCAATACCTGTGGGTCAACGCCATTTAGTTTGCTCTTGCTCATTTTTTCATATGTAACTTCTATTGGTGCACCAGATCCAAGCTCCACTGGTGGATTAACTGCAAGAAAACATAAAATTACTGTACAACACAGTCGTAGGTTTTCCCTTAGAGAGATTAATAAATGGAAAATGACAGGGTTGCTCGTTGTACGTTACAGTAAACGAAGATGGCAGGAATGTTTTTTCTGTGATTTGTCAAAATAAAGCAGCAGCAGCATCGCAGTTTGAGTTGCTTGCCTCACTGCCTCTCTTGGCTGAGGCACCAGCTACTGCCAGTGGTGAGAACAGTATTCTTTGTGATCATTTTACATTCATAGGTCTAATGATAAATGCACATACTGTACATAATTTTGGCATCGAAATTTACACAAAGTATGGCTTTATCACATGTTACAAAAGATGCTGATTGTATAATAATACATTTTCTGTGATTTATTTGTTATTGAACCACACATGCCATGAGGTACTTTCGGTGCGTAGATCTTCAAAATTATTTTATGTTTCTGTGGCAAATAATTGTCCTCCATTTATAATTTTGCCACCAAAATGTTTACCAATAATTGTTCTATTGTATGCCATAAAGGAAATTAAGATTGTGTAATAAATGTTTTTTTTATTAATTTGTGGAGCTACAGACTACAGCATTAGACCACCAGTATTTTAACAATGATGGCATTTGCACTCACTTTATTGTGGGGATTGAGAATACCCTCTTGAAGTGCCAGTTTGGAGCTATACAGTACTATTATGATGTACAAAGTGTAGGTGTAGGTTAAATATATGCAGCATTTGTATGCCACAAATGCAGGACCACTGCATTTGTGCCACAAAAATGCAGGTCCTATGTGGCACAAATGCATTTGTATGCCACAAAGGCAGGACCACTCAAAATAGTGGGATGAGGAAAAAACAATAATCAAGGCAGGCAGAGGACTTTCCAACAAATAAAAACACCCCCTCAAAGAAGGTGGATCAGTCCCATTGTGGACCATTCCGTCCTTACTCCAATAATTCATTGGAGTGCGGTTCTACAGCACTGCTCATGTTATAACCAATTTTGCAATACGGCGGTAGTCGTTTTGAGATTTATAACTTATTTGCTTTGTTTATTAATTATATATAGACAATGTAATACTGTACAAATAGTACAAGCTGAGCCCAGGACACCTTAAAATGTATTTTTTCACAACAAATCAAGTATTCAAGGAGAAGATATTGGGTATATTCATGTTTTCCTTGCAGCCATTTTTTATTTTTGCTAATAAACTGTTTTCATCAACAAACAAAGTTCTGTTAATTAGATTTCTAATCTGTAGGATCTGAATTACAAGATCAACATGCTTACTGTAATTCTTTCAAACTAAAATTTAAAACATATTTTGTAATTAATGTAAACATGTCATTCAGAGAAAAGCTTACCTGAAAAATCTACTTGGTCTTTAGTGATGTAACGCCCAGAACCTTTAACCAAATATGACTGTCCCATGACCATACCCATCATGATGAGTCTCTTGAAGGGCTCCGAGTGGCTTACAATCCCCTTGCTGCCCAGAAAGTGTTGCATAAATCGGGCAAAGTACAAGTGAAGGTCAGCTGGAAAATAATATTCATCATAAAGTCTCACACATCTTTACCAAGCCCTAATACATGCATGTAAATGAATTATTTACTAATATTTACTTCCAAAGACTTACCCGGTACATCACACTGTACTTAAGTGAGTGTAAAAAGAATGTGACTTAATTGCTAACTTAAAATACAGTATGATATTGTATGTAGCTTTTAAAATAACATTACATAAATATATATACAGTACTGTGTAAATACTAATCATTGCTCCACTTTCACTGGGTAGACACACATCAGCTTGCAGAAAATAAGGTACTGTAATAGTAAACTGCATTATTCCTGAGCCAGTCCCTTGTATGCTCCCTGGGCTAGAGCCCATGTGACCCACCGAGGACTTGTCATCTGCCAGGCTCTTGTAACAAGTATCTTTGCAAATGTTTGTTTTTTTATGAAAATTATCCAAGGCAGACAATGTCTATTTCAAGCCACCACTGAGGGACTAGAATGCTACTAGACAAAACAGTAAGAAATACCCTAAAATCCTTCTATCTAAGAAAAAAGGAAAAAACATTGACATCAATAGTTGCTTTGCTAACTACATGGGCATTTGTAATTCTAAATTACCTATACTTCCTTCTTCCAGGTGACAGTACCCATTACCACAACAGAGTTGGCAAAGCCAGCAAATCCCACTTGTAGCTTGGACCAACGTAACAAGCTCAAGGAGGAGGAGGAGAGGAGGAGACAAGCAGAGGGAACAGGAGAATCCAAGTAAGTAATTATCAAAAGAAGTAAGTAAGTAATTATCAAAAGAAGGCACCAAACCGGGAAGGCTATGTAGCACCATCAAATGTGCGGAATAATCAGAGGGCGCTTAATATCACCAAGAATGCCAATACGAGAACAAAAACGCATAAGGCCAACGACATCAAAAGTATCCGAGTCACCAAGAATTCTATTGAGGGACAGGCGACCGCGCAGGAGAATCCAAACAACAGGGATAGAAAGTAGTGTTTCAATATATGTACCTGACACCCTATTTACAAGGGGACAAGTACCTTAGAAAAGGTAGTTGTCCACATGGATAGGAAAGTCCTCCATTGCCTAATGTGATGAGTGCCAATAAGCTAAGGAGGTTACCACCAGGGAAAACCTTAGCCGTCAGCCATATTTTGATAATTGGGTTTACCACACTTACCACGGTAGGACCAGCAACCACATTCATTTGCTGAACTCCACTAAAGAATGTGAAGTAATCTACTAGTACATAACTCCCATAAGTCATTGGCAATTATGCTGTTATATTCTATACTGTATAATGAACACATTATCTTTACGTAAAGATATCTTATGTAAAAAAAAAGAGTAGGTTTGCCTTGACTTCTCGGTCATTCGAGGTTCACCCTGCCATAATTACCACCAAGTTTGCTGCCGTGTTATGGTCCATCAACTGGGCAATCAGCACCTACATAGAACAAGGTATGAACAGTCTCCCCGATACTCGAGTGGGCAAACTTTACCATAGTACAAACCTGTGCTGCTCTCCCATACATTTGACGGCAGTAAACAAAATATCAAATGCAAAGAAATCTAACAACAATGACTGTGCTGCATCAAATAAATTTATATTAAGAGCAGCAAAGGTATCTCTCACAGTAGTAAATAAAATTACTATTACAAATTTAAGTGCTTACAACCAGAAGCAGTGATTTGAGGTTATCTTAAGATGATTTCGGGGCTTTAGTGTCCCCGTGGCCTGGTCCTCAACCAGGCCTCCACCCCCAGGAAGCAGCCCGTGACAGCTGACTAACACCCAGGTACCTATTTTACTGCTAGGTAACAGGGGCATAGGGTGAAAGAAACTCTGCCCATTGTTTCTCGCCGGCACCCGGAATCGAACCCAGGACCACAGGATCACAAGTCCAGCGTGCTGACCGCTCGGCCGACCAGCTCCCTAAGTCAATTAAGTTAATGTCAACTAAGTCAATTGCATACATTAAAAAAAAATATGGACATATACCATGTTCTTTGCCCCCAACATACAGATCAACAGGCATCATTGTATCTTGAATGTTGTAGCAGAAGGGCGACTTGCTGTTGTTGGGATCAAGGAAACGAAGAAAATACCAAGATGAATCAACAAAGGTGTCCATTGTGTCTGTCTCACGTTCTGCCTCACCTCCACATCTGTCATCACAAAATAAAGTTGGGTTACAAAATGAATTCACAGGATAAAATATAGAGTTATTAGCGGCAGATTCCTAGAAATTATTCAGGCATGTTATAATATATAGTACAGTAAATTGTGTACATGTATACAAACTTCTGCACATGGACACGTACAGAACAATAAAATATAATTCTAAATTGGTCTAATTATAATTTGTTACAATTCAAATACATATAATTTATTGTATATATATACTGCATTTACACTAAAAAATTGCCTGACCTTGGACAACTGCATTTCCGCCAGTGACTTGCCTCCTTGAGTGGCGATATACCTCTTTTTGGGAAGCTTGTAATCTGAGGCAGTTCTACTGGAAGCTGGTCCTCAGGCACAGGGACTAATCCACAATCTGGACAGTGAATGATTGGAATCGGGGTGCCCCAGTACCGCTGTCGTGATATCAACCAGTCACGTAACTTAACACTAGCCTGAAATCCCCCTGCTCCTATTTCAGCAAGTTGCTTAGTTACTAGTGTTCTTGCCGAGTCCAACATTAAGCCGCTTAAGTTACCACAATTTACTAGCTTGCCATTTTCAATAACTTCTGGAGTTTCAAAATTACACGTTCTTGCAACAGACATATCAACACTGGATATGCAAGGAATTCCTACATAAAACTCAGCATCTTCAATGTATGGCAAATCATCACAAACAATAACTGGAATTCGTCTTTGACTGATAGGGCAAACAGCACAAACACTCAATAACTGATATTTATCATGTTTCTGTACTTTATAAGAGTCTGAATCATATTTATGACCAGAATGAACTCCAATAAAGCTTATTCCATATATAAGCTCTGGCTGTGCCATCCATAAGGCCAATTTCCCACTTTCTTGTACATAAGTATCTTTACTACATGTATCCAGCTGCTCTACAGGCATCTCTACCCTGTACCCTACACAATCTCCAATCCAATGACGCTGAATCTTGACGATGTCACTCCAATTTTCCAATGTTGGGTCAGACAAACCTTCAACGAGAGATTTTGAAAACCTGAAATTGAAAACAAAATTTCATGAATACAGTAGTTTTATCAGACAACAAAATATCATGGTAATAATAAAAGGTGCAACAAACTCTTATACCAATATGAAATTTAAATTAACATTTTTTATTTGTTTGTTGTAGGTAATCTAGTAGGCCCAAGTTTACAAGAATAATGGTGGACTGAACTTCCCCAGCATGTGATCCGTGTTATGTTGGATCATCTTAAGAGCACTGTACAGCATAAGATTGAGGGCAATAAATGATTTCTCCACCACTATGTTATTATATTCTTACACAAAACACACTAATTTAGAGGTTTACAAAAAAATTCATGTTATGGCATTTATATATCTATATAGTAATAATACTAATAATTAGTTCTCTCAAATGTCTATGGACTCTCACATTTGTTAAACACTATGTATATATTGATTCTTATGAGTCATTAAGTAAGAATAAATCAAACTGGGTTATAATATTCCTAATTTATGTGGTTTTATTGTATGTTATTTATCTTATCTTATACTATAGTATGCACAAGTTTTAGTTGGGTCCTGAGCAAATCAGTAAGAGTGAGTTAACTGAAATATCAGAATATGGAAATTGTTACTATAATGAAGTACAGTATAGTATATCAATATTTTATTATAATATAAGGTTTAAACACTCGGAATGGTCACAGATTACGGAGGGAAAAGAATACCCAAACCAACTTATGAAAGATATACAGTATAGGTACATAGATATTTAAAATCAAATTATGCATGATAGCTACAAATTGGAATGTAAATGCATTCAAACATGTGAAACATTGACAACACCAATGTATTCCTCTATATTTATACCTGGTTGTCTTGATAAACCACTGTTTCAGAAAGCGTTTCTCCACTCTGGCACCAGACCTCCACGAGTAACCATTGACGTCCACCTGCTCATTTGCCAACACAGTCTGATCCACTGGGTCCCAGTTCACCAATGCCTGTCAAAAAGAATCTGTTAGTCAGCATTAATTAAACTTAAAATATTCTCCCTCGCTTTACACACAATGTAAACTACTTTAAAAAAGACAATTAGCTTCTTGCACAATGTTGGTTGCAAGTAAGCATGCGTGGAGAATTAGTGATGGTGGTGAGGGAGTCGATTGGTGTTGGTGCGGGGTGTCGATATGCAGGTGGTGTAGTTTTTGTTTAAAGATAGGTGGTGTGATTCAGGGTGTTGGTGGGCAGGTGGTGTGGCAGGCTCTCTGTAATAAATCTCCACAGTACCCAAGATGTCAATCATTCTTGGTACCAAACTCTGTAAGGAACACCACCAATACCAGTGGTTAAGTACATAGAAATATTGCTTTTAAAGGTCTTGACAAACCGTACAAAAAGGTAGAGTAGAGAGTAGCAATTATGTAGAGAAATAGCAAGCAAAACTTTACTTTAACTTTACTGAAGATTACATTTTATATATAAGTAAAAAAACATTTGCACTGCTCAAGCTGCATGGATTAGATTATTTTATATGCTGCTAGTACCAGAGTGCAACTCCATAGTCTCCAGAGACTGATGGATGCCTACTACTAGTACCAGTAGTAGGCGATGAGTCACAATAACGTGGCTGAAGTATGTTGACCAGACCACACACTAGAAGTTGAAGGGACGACGACGTTTCGGTCCGTCCTGGACCATTCTCAATCGACTTGAGAATGGTCCAGGACGGAGCGAAACGTCGTCGTCCCTTCAACTTCTGGTGTGTGGTCTAGTACCAGTAGTAATTTTGCAAATGAGGCAGCAATACCAAATTTTTAAATTAATGTTTGTAAATATGAGTTTTATAGTTTTGATGGTAGAGTAACGATCAATGTAAAAAAATAATCTCTGTATAACCCTACTTATGTCCTGCCCTATATAACCTGAGGTACTGAACTTTTACCGTAATACAGTACACAATGCACATTCAGTTCAGGTAAAATAATGTAAGCTATATTCAAGCAGGAAATAATGGGCAGTTATACTGAAGTAGCCCCATCAAATAATAATAATTAAAATTATCATCATACTGTATATCATATTATTATAATCGTAGACTGCCAAAGAATGCTGAATACAGGCACAGCACATAAAACAAAGTCATCACTAACCTCCTCCTGATATACCAGTCCTGCTTGAAACAAGAGGAGAAAAATGGCTTGAGTCCAACGGTAATATTTTGGATCACATGTTGCAATCTCTCGATCCCAGTCAAATCTGCAACCCAGCTCCTGTAGCTGATCTTTCATCTGCTGAATATTACTCAAGGTCCATTTTTCAGGCATCTCACCACTATCAATTGCTGCATTTTCAGCTGGTAGGCCAAAAGCATCCCAGCCCATAGGATGAATAACCTGACAAATAAATAATACATATATTTAATTTACTATATACAGATACTATATGATTTACTATTTAAAGATTACATAAGAATTTAAACGTATCCATAACTGCTTAATATGGAGCTTAAAAAAAAGATTATTTTTCCTATACACAAAGAAATCACACAAAAGTGATATACTGTACATCAATGAGGAAATCAACTGAAGCACCGAAGTGACTCGAACCAGCGATCGAGGAATTCCCAGCCACTTACCGGGGTAAGGCGAGTGGATGAGAGTTCCTTGATCACTGGTGAGAGATATGTGGAAGCTGAAAATGATGATTCCATATGCTTTGGCTAAGCTGAAAATAATTATTATTTCTTGGTTCCACTTAAGGCATCTCATGTTAGACTGTATACAAAAAGCAATACATTTCACATTGTGGGGGGACAAGAAGCCTGATAGGCTTATCAAGGTCACCCCTGGGTCAACAACTGCCTAACTCCTGGGTACCTGTTTACTGTTCTATGAACAGAGGGATCAGGTAAAACACAACATATCCAAAATTTCCATCCTACTGCGAGGATTGCATCCAGGATCTTTTGGTTCTAAACCAACTGCACTGACTACTGTGCCAATCAAACATTTTATTAAATCTTCAGTATCAACCAGTAAAAAATCAAAATTTTATCAAAAGAATGCAAAGTATTAAATTGTGTACACAAGCAATATTAGTTTGAAAAACTACTCTACACAGGCTTGGCAAGAGCAGTAGTGGCAAAAAATATTGTGCATATACCTTGTATCCTCTGAGCCGGTAATACCTGGCCATGGCATCGCTGGTGGCATACACACGGACGTGGCCCATATGCAGCTTACCAGATGGATATGGGAACATGGAGAGAACATACTTCTTCCCTTTATCATTGCAAGCTTCACTAAAAAATATGACAATAAATATAAAATTAATTTTACTGTATATCAAAAACCATAGTTCATAAAATTTAGAATTACTTATGCTCAGCTTTGCATATATAGTACAGTACAGGTATAACTAATATACTGTACAATACCTGCATTACTAAAATAACACAGTAAGAATATAGTTACTGAATTTATGCCAGAGTACTGTACTTTGTATACATGATATCTACAAATGCATACCTATTGCCTTGTGTATAATGTGTATATATACAGTGATACTCTGTGATTAGACCAACACTCACAAATGCTACCCTCAGGAATGGAACTAGCCCAAAAGGAGAATCTACCCCTCAGAATGGAAACAAAGCAGTCCAGTAGAATGTAAAGTACAAAATTTTTATACAGAAATGCAGATGGTGTTACAAATAAAGGAGTAGAATTGCAAGAACTGGTGGTGGAACTGCATCCTCATATCATCTCAGTTACAGAGACAAAACTGCAAACATAATAGAGGATACAATATTCCAAAGAGGATACCAGGAAGCACAAAAAGAAAAGATAAACAGGATGGGGGGGAGGGGGGAGGAGTAGCCCTATTGATATAAGAACATTGGAGTTGTGAGGACGATTTTATACTAGGTATGATAACAGTAAAGACCAGGAAGATAGTGGTAGGTTATTTACAACCCCCTACATTACAGGAAGATCATGAGAGGAATATAAATGCAAGGAAGCATGCCCAATGGTAAAAGAAAAGCAAAGATCAAATAACTGTACTTTGGGATTTTAACCACAAGGAAATAGACTTGTCAACAAATGATCATCACAGGGTAGATGAAATATCAAGAGCAAGATTTCCTGTGGCAGTATATCAGTTAGCCGACAAGAGAAAGAGATGATCTAACTACCCTAGACCTAGTATTTACCCAAAATGAAGATGATGTAGAGCAGCGGTCGCCAACCTGTGATCTGCGGACCACTGGTGGTCCACGAGACAATTTTATTTGTGTATTGTATGTAACTGTGTATTTTCTTGAACTGTTTATACTCTATTTAATGGCATCAAGTAATTGACTTTAATAACTATCATTTCTTGTTTGGTGGACCGTGGGATTCACATTAGTGGTCTGGGGTATTTAAAATTATGAATTTAGCGATCTGTGAGCTCTGAAAGGTTGGCACCCACTGATGTAGAGAACTTACAATCTGAGGTATCACTAGGAGTCAGTGACCACTACATTACTGTGTTTGATTACACTGTATAAATGAAAGAGCTGGAAAATGAGCAAGTAGCAAGAGAGAATACAAAGGAGGGGACTACAGAAGGGTTAGGGATTATCTGTGGTAGGTTCAATGAGACAGAAATGGAAGAAAAGTCAACAAATGAGATGATTGAACTTATAACACATTAATTAAAAAATCAATAGAACAGTTAAACCATGTGATAAGGTTGAAGGAACAGGGAGAAGCACTCTTAGATGACAAAGAAGCATGTGAAAACTCAACAATCAGAACCAGATAAGTGTCTAAGAAGGGGTGACAACAGATGACCAGAAACAATATTAGACAGAAAAGTTAACGTATTAGAGGTAAAATGATACCTGGAGGAACTGGATGTACCGAAAGTAGCAGGACCAGACCAGATACTGTATCAACATGGGAACCAAATGAAGCTGCAGAGGGCTTGTGTTAACCATTAACTATAGTGTTCAACATTACACTAGTGATGGGAGAGCTACCATAAATCTGGAAAAGGCAAATGAAGTTCCAATATTGAAGGAAGGGGACAGCCTTAAGATACTAAACTATAGACCAGTGTCATTAACATGAATTTCATGCAAGATTCTAAAAAGTCCTCAGAAAAAGGATTGTAGAACATTTAGAGAGTAAATTTTAAAACAGAGGCACAACACAGCTTCAGGGAGAGAAGATCATGCTTAACATTAACAAACTTGACTGAATTCTATGACAATCACCAAAATAAGGCAAGAGAAGGATAGGTAGACTGCATCTTCCTAGACTGCCTAAAAGCCTATAATGCACTTCCTGAAGAAAGACTAATATACAAGGAGAGACAAGCAATTTTGGTATTGTAACAAAATGTGTGCCAAATTGTGTTCTATGGTTTGTACTACTACAATCATAATGTTTTGTATAAAACAGCAAAATTAGCAAATTTCAGAAGAAACAAAATTGCAGATGAAAGTCATACAGAGGATTGGGAAGGGGAAGATGGGTAGGAAGCTGGAGAAAGGCAGGAGGGAAAGGAAAATGGGGAAGCAGAGAGGGAAACTGGAGAAAAGAGAGGGAAATGGGAGAAGAGAAAGGAGGGTAAGCTGAGAAGGAGGAGGATAAGTTACAAGGATGAGGAGGACTACAAGAAACAAGAGGGAGAAGGATGAGGAGGCTGTAATCACGTTTAAAATATAATATGACGGCACTAAAAATGTTCGGAAATAAGAAGATATCCCAATTCTTACCAGTAAACATTGCTTCCGAATATGATACTTACCATTGTTTAACTGATTGATGGGAAAGGCCATTATATTTATTTTTCCAATAGGCTTCTGCCTCTTTCTTAATCTCCGTAGGCAACTCCTCTTCCTGAAAGATTAAGTTGAAATCAATATGGTAAATAACTATATGATTTGATTGCACGTGGGTAGCCCAGAAAAGTATACAAAGTCTGACATCTCAAAATATGAACAAGTGGTTAAATGAATAGTGTGTGCATTTATTACAGGAATTATCAATCTAGGTATAGGCTAGGCAGCACTCTAACCTACACAGCAATCTACCCCACACATAGTCTAGGCAGCAATCTACCCTACACAGTCTAGGCAGCAATCTACCCTACACTTAGGCTAGGCAGCAATCTACCCTACACATAGTCTAGGCAGCAATCTACCCTACACATAGTCTAGGCAGCACTCTACTCTACACATAGCCTAGGCAGCACTCTACTCTACACATAGCCTAGGCAGCACTCTACCCTACACATAGTCTAGGCAGCACTCTACCCTACACATAGTCTAGGCAGCAATCTACCCTACACATAGTCTAGGCAGCAATCTACCCTACACATAGTCTAGGCAGCAATCTACCCTAAACACAGTCTAGGCAGCAATCTACCCTACACAGTCTAGGCAGCAATCTACCCTACACATAGTCTAGGCAGCAATCTACCCTACACATAGTCTAGGCAGCAATCTACCCTACACATAGTCTAGGCAGCAATCTACCCTACACATAGTCTAGGCAGCAATCTACCCTACACATAGTCTAGGCAGCAATCTACCCCACACATAGTCTAGGCAGCAATCTACCCTACACAGTCTAGGCAGCAATCTACCCTACACTTAGGCTAGGCAGCAATCTACCCTACACATAGTCTAGGCAGCAATCTACCCTACACATAGTCTAGGCAGCACTCTACTCCACACATAGCCTAGGCAGCACTCTACCCTACACTTAGGCTAGGCAGCACTCTACCCTACACATAGTCTAGGCAGCACACTACCCTACACATAGTCTAGGCAGCAATCTACCCTACACATAGTCTAGGCAGCAATCTACCCTACACATAGTCTAGGCAGCAATCTACCCTACACATAGTCTAGGCAGCAATCTACCCTACACCTAGGCTAGGCAGCAATCTACCCTACACATAGTCTAGGCAGCAATCTACCCTACACATAGTCTAGGCAGCAATCTACCCTACACATAGTCTAGGCAGCAATCTACCCTACACCTAGGCTAGGCAGCAATCTACCCTACACCTAGTCAGAACAGCACTCTACCCTACACATAGTCTAGGCAGCAATCTACCCTACACATAGTCTAAGCAAGACACTTCACCCAAGGTGATGTATTATCTTATAAGATAAAGAATATAATACAGTACTGATGTAAACAATAAATCTTATGAGAAACAAACAATGGTTGACATCAAGACTTACAAAGTTCGGCCACACTCCAGTCTTGCTGAATAACAGTCTGTAGTGGGGCATGGCCGACGCCAGCCTTCGTGTCATCCATTGCTGCGATATTTGAGCCAATCTTTCCATTGTCCTGATTTGTGTGTTGCGTCTCAGACAAGTTGAGGTAGAGAGTGAACACTGTGGGTTATGTTCGTGTTCATTGTTCACACATTGCTGTTCAGTAGAGGAATGAAAGGGGACCGGCAGCCAGCACTTTCCCGGGAATTTCTTGGACAAGTCGCTCCACAACACAGTGTTGCCAGATCCAAGTTGCTGAAATTGAAATAAATAAATAAAAATAAATAAATGTTTATTCGGGTAAGGTACATACATACAAGAGATTTTACAAAAAATGATAGATTTATAGATAGAGCTAGTACATACAATGCCTAAAGCCACTATTACGCAAAGCCTTTCGGGCAAATAAGTTTATTGAGGTAAAATACACACAATAATAATAATAATAATAATAATAATAATAATTTTTATTTAGGTAAAGGTACATACATAAAGAGATTTTACAAAGTTTGTTGGCTTTATAGATAGAGCTAGTACATACAATGCCTAAAGCCACTATTACGCAAAGCGTTTCGGGACAAAGGGATGAGGTAGCTCCAGCTATTCTCACCCCGTTCAGTACATCGTGTTAATACATACATAAACACACATCACAAACAATAAACGTATTACCGAACATTCTGAGAGATAAACATATACAATTCCTCCTTTACACAAGTATGGTAGAAAGTTGCTAAAAGTAGCGAGCTAACGCTCTAAATGTAGCGAAATAATAATAAAAGTAGCCCAATTTTTTGTTTCGTGACTGATACGGGTTTCAAAGTAATATATTTTGATATATAGAGTACACTACACGATGTTAATTGTTTTATTAATATTATTTCTGCACACACACACACATTATATATGTATATATAACTAAGTTTTCAGTATGCATATAGTTTTGTACCCACAGGCCTAGGGCCCCAGTGCCCATCATGCTGTGCTCAGAGAGAATAATGCTGCTAACAGAGCCCTGCCTTCAATAAGCAAACGTTTCAGGATTATTTAATTAGCTAAGATTTACCTGAATTTACCAGAGGGGTCACTATCTCTCAGTGCGGATAGGAAGTCTTGTCAAATGTCCCCTATTTGCCTGGTGATTTTATCGAGCAATGTTTTATCATTTACGGCTTCGTCGGGTAGGTGGTTCTATTCGAACCCCAGTTGGAAACAGACCCAACTATAGGATGGGTTAACCCAAGTATCGCGCTTCCAAAAGGGTCGCCCAAGTTGGAAAAGACGAACGCTGAAAGAATATTGTTGAAAGCATCTTGATAACTGATTAAACCAAAATTATTTATTAGTCAGAAGAAAGACAGAAACACGATCTATATGTAAAACCTCTACCAGACAAATATTTTAAGTAAAACCGAAGATATTTGTAGTTGTATAAAAGTGGCAGTTTTCATCGCTCGTCAAACTCGAAAACCGCAGCATTCATCTCAGAACCATGCCTATTTCACGCAGATTCCTTAATAAACGTAAGAGTTTTATATATCACAAGAAAGACAGATATATAAGCTTCGTTCTAAATACCTTACCATGGGCATATTTAAATTTAAAGCGAAGATACGTGTACTTTTATAATAGCCGAGCTCCGACTCCGGACAGATCGATCGACGGAGCAACTCTCAGAACAATGCTTATTTCACGTAAATTATTAGTTGTTGAATAACTGTATAACAGTTTATGCCTTGCATTGGTGGATCATGAATGATGCTAAAAAATCCACCTCCCAACGCTCAGTCTTGGCGACAGCTTGGATGAACAATCCTCAGTTAATTGAACATTTGTATGTTCCACTGAATATTTTATACTGAATACAATTTGTTCAGAACATCCAGGAATTTGTTAGAGTGGGATCTATTAGAGTATGCTCTTTCTTAATTACTTATGCAGCTATTTTTCTATTGCCAAGTATATACCATATACACTAAGTAATACATCGTTTTTGAAACAGGAAACATACTTTTGGTACCCAAAAATTTGTCAAAATATTACTAACATTTAGCTACCTCAGGTTGAGCAAAGCCCATATAATTTGTTAAACCGAGTGGATATTGAACTTTTGAAACAAAAGACAACCAAAGATCTGTACAAGGCAATTACAAATTTTGAAAAAGATCAAGTATATCAAGGTCTAAACAGAGTTACAGATGACAAATGAGATTTTAATTCATAAATGTACATAAATGTACGAGTTGACCAATTACAAGCGGGTCAGCCGGTAGCTGGAGCAGGTCGGAAATACAGCTCCACAGAAGCATTAAATGTCTACGTTACGAACCACCGTTCGGGGGCTCAAGAATAGAAACGAAAGATTTTTTTATGACTCAATTAAAATTATAAGTTTCCCCTCGTGAATATGAGGCGAGTAAATTCAGCAATTTCTTGGTGCTACATATTTGTTTGTGTTTGTGGTGTTTGGAGAATCTATGTGCATAGCAGAGGAGGTATTTGTCTTGATCGGGTTGGCTCGTCATTGAATAGTGTAAATTTCTTGAGACCGTAAAGCAGATGGGCATAGCTAGGTGCTTCTGTAGCAGTTGGTTGCTGCAGGAGTCTGCCATGAGTACGAGCAAGTTAATCTTGACATGTGTTAAGTGGGTGCTGATGTCTTTTCAGATCACTTACTGAGGATCGAGTGTCAGGAATAGTTTGAAGATCTGAAGATAAAGCAGGAGTCCTGGATAAGTGGGTTCAAGTCAAACACGTAGGGTCTGAAGGAATGGAGCCCGGGAAACTTCAGTATGATAGGAAACTAGTTGGTTGTAAAGTGCAGTAAACATGTATCTTAACTTAAATAAAACTATTGTTTAGAAACTATGGTCATCCCGGAAAATTCTAAACGTTGGTATAAATGATTTATTAACACATTAGTTAACTTCTCATTTCATTAGCAATCTCTAAAACCAGTTCCATAATTCATCCTTGGCTTTTTAAATAATTCACAAGTATAATCAGAAACTAAAATGTAATCATGTTATGTTATGCTGAAGAAAACAAGATGAATGCAAGGATCATGGCAACTTCATAGCTAGCTACTTATTTATTTCAATAATGATCTCTCTAATCATCTGGATAAATAATCAAGAATGTAGCTATGACATTACTAGTGCTGGTCCCAAAAACCAGCAATGCACTTGGCATTTATGATTTGCTCCCGTGAGTTTGCATTAAATATTTTACAGGTACATGAAGGATAAAGATGATGAAAAAAAATTCCATTATAAATATATACTGTATACATCAAATTAAATTATTTATTCACATTACACGAGTCGCTCACATTTCACAGCAATGTCAAGTTATTTGACATAATATTGCAGGATGATTAGAAATATTATGATTCATAAAATTATAATATAAATATACATGGGGGAGCTTTCACATTTAACAATGCCTTTATGATAAAAAATGGCAACCAGAGTTAAAGTTAATTTTAATTGTGATTTTATAGTCAAATCTAATAACAGCATTCCAATCTTAAGCTTTGTTATTTACAAAGTTCAAAGTATAACTGAATATTGAATTAAAATTCTAATGTAATGAACTAGGTATAGCTTTTTATTTTATTTTTAATACAAGCACTCAATACATAACCAAATGTGCATACTGCTCATACATTACCAAAATTGACAACTCATTTGCTCAAATTATGCCAAAGAAAGGTGAACTTATTATACTTCAAAATCCTTTAATACCTTTTACAAATTATATAAAAAGCTTTTGTACATTCACTAAGATATACTCTATCATATAACAGGCTGCAAATTTAAATGAAATTGGAGAAAAGGAAATCAGTATTTTCACAAGAGGAATCTGACTGAATGTGAAATATACAATATATATAGACAATAATTGAGAGGTAAATCATTTTAATGAGTACATTCTTACCTGCTATAAAGTTATGTCAACACACTTATGCTTTTAAATTTTTCAAAATGTATTGAATAAAAATGATGATTTGCAAATTTGTTTGCAAACATCCCTTTGCCCAGTAAAGAATGAGGTTAATGTACCTAATATCATATTTTGTGAAAGTAGTATGTACTTAATCAAATCATTCATATAAAATGTTTTTAGTTTGAGAAAATACTGACATTTTCAAGTCTTAATTACACCAAAGAGTAACAAAGACTGTGTATACTTTAAACACAGTGTATAATAAATGTATTACTGTACTCTGAAAAGCAAGTTAAAGCTACATTTAGTTTTTCTCTATGCAAAAGTTATCATGCTGCACTAGTAAGGAAGTTCTGTATGCAACACCCATTTGCAAAATATGCAAAGTTTTATTAGTATAACTAGAGTGATAAAATATTAACTAATAACAAATCAACATTTATCAATCTTGGTGTTTAAATTTAGAAATGTTTTATATTAAGAAAAAATAAACCTTGTTTACAAATATTAACATTTATTACATTCTAGGTTCTTCTAATTTTAATTTTACTTATTTCTTATCCACTAAGCCCCAAAATAACATTATATTTGCTTAATTCCTGAAGTAACAAAAATATTAATATGAAACATGGAATGTTTAATGAGCTCAAGCAGTCTTAAATTCAAGCAGATTTACTGCATCGTGGTAATAAACTCTGCTACTGTATCATTCCAGCATAACTAATGTAACATGATATGGCTCTACTATCATTCTGCTAAATAAGATATTTTCAACACAAATTTAAAAAATAAGGAAACATGGAATGGCCTCGCACAGGTACAACATTCCTTTTATATCACGTATGATGGACTAAGACCCTTTAATATCACGTATGATGGACTAAGACATAGCTACCGGTATATAAATTTACACCTCAAATAGATAAAGCTAAAATTTTCTCTAAATACACTAATGAGTAATCTTTCAGGTATATCTAAACAAAAGAAAGTATAACCCTTAAAATACTAGCATAGCTGAGTAATCTTACAAATATTTGTGTATGAAGTATAATTAATGAAACTTCTTTTATTCCTAAGGTACTGGGGCCAGATTCACGAAGCAGTTACGCAAGCACTTACGAACCTGTAAATCTTTTCTCAATCTTTGGCGGCTTTGTTTACAATTATTAAACAGTTAATGAGCTCCAAAGCACCAAGAGGCTATTTATAACAATAACAACAGTTGATTGGGAAGTTTTCATGCTTGTAAACTGTTTAATAAATGTAACTAAAGCCATCAAAGATTGAGGAAAGATGTACACGTTCGTAAGTACAGTACTTGTGTAACTGCTTTGTGAATCCGGGTCCTGGGTCTTACGTTTATATATTTAAAAAATAAAAACAAACGTAAGAACTCCAGTTTTATTCATTGGAGAAGTGTAAGAGGTCCAGCAAGCATTTCCTCACACCCTAATTCCTCCAAGCCCATCTCTACGCCGTCGTCGTCTCCTGCACAACTTTCTACGGAGGCCTTCCAGCTATACAGAAAGAATGAAATATTATAATTAATGTAGATAACAAAACAATAGATTAATTTTCAGTTTTCTTATTCATAATGTCCCAAAACTGGACAAGACTACCTAACCAACATACAGAAATCTCCATAAAAAAATATTGCACATTGCTAAGGTAATTTCATTCTTAAGTAACTGATGATTTTATGAAGTGAAAAGGTATCTTAATCGAAAGCAGTACAAATCATATAAGCACAAAACTAATAAAGTAAAATTGAAACCCAGAATGTATGGACATTCTATCAAGCCACTTTTATCCACTTCCAATTATATAGGATGGAATACAATACAGTTATTAGGGTGCCTTCACCCTAATAACTGATTAATACTATACTGTACATTACAAAATTTTGAGGCAAATCAAAAAGGTATCCCTATACCTTTTACTCTGGTTATATACAAATACAAAAGGTAATTAATTTCACTAATGGAAGGATGGGAGTTTGCCTCAACACACACATGACAAACCCTATATGATGTTCTAATTAGCATCTTTGAGAACATTGTTCCTAACATTCCTGATACTTCTCCACTTCATAACAATGATTCTAATTGTGTGTGCTTCAGAGGCCGTGCTCTAGCTAGAAATTTAATAACTGATCGTAAGAAGAAAATTGCAGACTTTCCTAATGTTGTAATACTAAAAGGGGATTTGTATGTTGCATAAAGAAATGTATACTTTAAAATTTCTAAATACAATGCCATTCTGTACATAATTATTTTGTTAAAATAAATTCTTGTTCTTTAAACACATCAAATTTTGACTATAAAATCCCATACTAAATACAGTATTACACAGTTTTGTTTGACAAGGCCTCTTGTGAAATGCTCTGTGCAAAATTGGGAACCTAGTACCGGTATATTCAAATTACAAAAACCATCCTCATAATTTACTGATAATTGTTTATTTTTATTTTTAACACTCACTTTTAATTCTTATGTGCAACAAAGATAAAGCTGCAAAAAATTATACAAAGATTAAATAATACCAGTAATAAAATGCACGTGGTCAAACACCTTCTATTTGACAGTAGCTCCAACACTCTACATACCTCTGTACTGAAGAAGTTGATCAATGTGAGAAATATTAACGAGGCCAAGCAAGCATAGATCAGTGCGCGAATGAAATCCCTCCATTTCCTCCAGGCTAACAGTTCTTCAACATACAGGAACCGATTGCGGTAGTTCACGGGTAACTCAAATGACGAAGGCAGTGGAAAAAGTGATTCATAAGTGTCCTGGACTAGGGCATGTATCAGATCATTCTCTCTACTTCTTGGATCTAGGTTACTATTTAAGCAAATAAATTTCCTGAAAAAAAAAGTAAAGAGGTTATTTAATGTGTTGCATCACTATCTATAGCTTTTTATATGATTAAACACAAATAGTTTGTACATAATGTTAATATAAAGATGAATATACAAATAAATCCATTCAACCTGCATAGCTACACTATGAAATTATTTTGTAACCATTATTTCTCTAAACAGTGACATTTGCAATGAAAACCTTGACACTAAGGCACTTTTACAAAACAAGCAGCATTAATAAATAATCAAAGGCATTGGGATACGAAGGCCCCATGTCCATCACTTCAGATGAAAGAGCCTCACAACCTTTCCATTATAGGGGTGGGTTCATTCCCTACATTGTCCTTGTGTACATTAAACACCGACACATTCCTACTACATTTAAAAATCAAACAAGTCAATCATTGCACTATTAACACTAAACATCCTCTACTTCAACTACAACATTCAATATCATTAAATCATCCCCAGTCATGCTCAATTGCCCTTCAGACACTCCATGAAATTATCAGATACACCATGATTGGTGTATCTGATTGTGCCATGGGCACAATCAGAGAACACTGTATGAACATCAGAGGTCCACAGTTGTTCAACGTCCTACCAGCGAGCATCAGAAATATTACAGAAACAACCGTGGACATCTTCAAGAGGAAACTAGATTGTTTCCTTCAAGGAGTGCCGGACCAACCAGGCTGTGGTGGGTATGTGGGCCTGCGGGCCGCTCCAAGCAACAGCCTGGTGGGCCAAACTCTCACAAGTCAAGTCTGGCCTCGGGCCGGGCTTGGGGAGTAGAAGAACTCCCAGAACTCCATCAACCAGGTACCATATAATCTTTCTCAAATAGACACTCATTGGGTCAATGGAAATATCTGATCCACACAAACACTTCCAATGCAGAGCTCATCATGTCCATCACTAATATATCAGTTTAAAAATGAATGAAATGGAAAGAGGTACAGTAGTTGAAATAGTGTTAAGTATGAAATTCCCATGAGGAGTGATAAGGAATGTAGCTGTATGGGAACTAGTTTATAAGAAGGAAGTGTTATGGTGCTGATGTTGCTACAGTATGTAGTGTGAAAGACAGTGAATGGATGTATGTGTTTTTTAGTAATGTTTTAAACTTCTTTACCAATATTGCTCTTCCTCCTGCTAGTACATTCCTACCCCATGAAAGTGATACAAGGAGCAATGCAAATAACAGATCGTGATAAAAGGTAAAATAGTTATAACCTAGATACGTGTAGCAGAATTTATGAGCCAAATTTTCTTTCTGTGGTAGCTGTTAATTGCTAAGTACAAGTTATTTGGAAACCAACCTTAACAAAATATATATATCCTACCTTGGGTTTTTCCGGACCTCATCTAGCATGTGTACAACTACAGACACATTGGAATTAACCATCTTGAAGTGAACAACGTCATCAGACTGATGAACAAATTTGTATTTCTTCGTACTCTCTAGCTTGCTTAGTAGAGAAGTTAATGGTTCACATTCTAACAGCAGTTCTAAGCTCACTGTTGGCTGAAATGCAAAGATAAATATTTATATACTGTACTGAACAGAACAGAGCATATTTGCACTCAAGACATAATATTTAGATACAGTTTACCAAACTGATAACTTAAATATCAAGAGTTTTGCATGACATTAGTGTTATCAGGTAAGGGAAGCAATAGTCTTTCACTACCACTTTCCATACACAAATCTAATAACAATGCATGAAAATGTAGTAATTTATGGGGAAGAAAACCCTTTTGCAAATTTGACATTTGGTCTCTGTGAAATCCATTGACTGTGTGATCCCAAAAATCACCATTAGAATTATATGAAGCCACCTTCTTAAATTAATCACTTGGCCACTTCCTAAGGAGAGATGCAGCCATGTCTTCAGGACAGGATCATCCAGTCAGGTGGGACAACATATTGATCCAGCATCCAGAGAACTTACTGAGTGTCCCCACAGGGTTAAATAAGGTAAATAACCCAACCCACATACCTATGAAAAGATAGGAAAGTATATCTGATGTTGATATAGGCCAAAGTTTTGGCCCATCCAGGACCCCTGATTAAGTTGCAAAGAGCTGAATCATCATCACTTTCTTTTTATGTTTGGATTGGTATATTTATTTTTAACCACAGAACTGTAACATTTTCTCTAGTAATAACATACAGTACTAAGGGATCACTAGAGAATATTTAATCCTGTCCAGTGTGACTGACAATAATCCAAATATAAACTAAAAACCCTTTCAAACACTCTCTTGATATCAAAAGTGACTGCCAAGGGAGCACACTAACTACCAATGCACAGCATTTCTACTTGGATACTCCACTAACTGCCAACTGATAACACTTCACACATCTCCACAATCCTATTCCCAGAGCACCCCACATGCTTCCTCATCAAAAGAAATGTCTTTCGAGCACAGAAAAGATGGGGCAGCAAGCTAAGAAGTGGATTCAACAGAATGATCCTTTAGGATAGGTGCTTTACATATAATGTAAATTGGAGCATAATTTCTCAGTTGTCTTAGTCTCCCATTGCTCAAAGGTAAGATTCTTTAAGAGAAAAGGAAGAATAAATACATGGGGGGAAAAATGGGCAAAACATGGTCAAAATTACTGCACAAATGCACATAATCTGAGACATCAAAGAAAAATAGCGGGGCTCCGGAACAAGCAGATGCTCAGCCCGAAGCCACTGGTAGGCTAGTGGAGGTCTGGAAGGGACTAGAATAACAGCACGTTAGGTATGAAAAGCTACTGAGGGGAGGGCCTCCCACAATAGGTACTAATAACAGATAGGGCTCATAATCAGAAGGAAACTCACCAAGTCAGAGTCAGCATATCTTTCATAGACTGGGGTTGGCACTGGTTTGATGTGATGGGTGGCAGAACAATTTTTAATTATATGGTGGAACACTTGTAAAGTACTGTAGTGAAGTGGGAGGTCATTCAGGTGAGTCAATAATGTTCGTATCTCTCGGTCTGACAGAGTTCTGTGAGAATAAGAAACATTTGTAAATATTGTAAATACGTATTTGTATGGTCTAAGGTGACTTTGATATACTTAAGTACAGGCTTCCTGTCAAGGACAATAGGAATTATATTACAGTTTTAGTTACAGTATTAATAGGTAATGTAATGCACTAAAACTTGTACAAAGTAATAAACTATCAAAGCAGCAAAGATGTCACATAATCTACTAACCCTGAATTATCAGTGTCAAAAATAGTAAAGACTTCTGTTGGAGTCCTGATTCTCTTTTCACTCATCAGGAAGAAATAATATGAGAAAGCATACTGCATATCATTGGCCTGCCTTATCTTGTGGGATGATGTTAGCTGAAATTCTTCCATAAATCTGTGAGTAAAATGAAACATTTACATTGATAAATAAAACGGTAGTTGTATTCTAAACAGCCATACAGTACTGTATATGAAACAGCAAGTGTAGTGGATTGCATCCTGGGGATGGTCAATAGTTAGTCTAGGGGATCCTCAATAAGCCAAAGTACAGGTTTCCTGTTACTGACAGCATAAACTATTCCCTACACAACATTTATTCCATTCCATATTAAAGCTGTTGCGGTTAAAAACCTCGTAGTTGGATCTCGGTTTCGGACTGACGGTATACCGCCTGGTGCTTACTGTCACGCTCCGAACAGCTAACTAGTACCGCCGGCTCGCACGGGGTGCTCTTCATCGAGTGTCCCGAGTGGCCGGCACGCTTACTTAGAAAAAATTAGAGTGCTCAGAGCATATTCTATTCCATAGAATGAATGTTGTAAAGTAACAGGTAGCATTTTGCCAAATATCGTAAGACAACAGTATAGTATAAAAAAACTTAATGAGAGGAAGATCACGTATGCAAATCCTGAGTGCACTCTCTCTTATGTCAATACTGTACTCTCTCAGTTAACAAGTGACTGATGATGAAGTTATCACTACAAAACAAGTGACAAAATGATACCTGTCAATTATTCTGAACAAGCAACAGATATTCAACTTTTATAAAAAAGTATAATTCTAGGCATTAAGACTATACTATATAAAAGCGTCATCGGAGACCGCATTTTCCTAGTCCTTACTCCCTGTTCTCCATTCTCTGTATACATCACATCATAACCTTGCAGTTAGTAGAGTCCTTGACATTCTATTAACATACAATGCAGTGCTTCTCGCTAAACGGGTGGTAGGGATGCCAATGTTTCTCGAGACAATATATTCTTTGCCTGAATGTATTACTGTACTTAAGTATTGTCTCTTAAAGATTTAATGCACAAAATGCTTTGCATAATTAATGCTTTACATACTATATAATTACTGTACTGTACATGCTAAGTAACACTTGAACACATTTTGTTGTACTGTATATTATATAATCATTAGAATTATTATATGATGAGGGATTTATTCATTATGTGGCCCCCAAAGCCTTAAAAAAATTGACTCTGGCATGACTTAGGATAAGTCATTTTAGATGAACTATAATGCTCAAGGAAAGAAGAAATCTATTACAATAAAATTTAGTTTGTTCTTAACTACATGAATTTGTAATAACAACAATTATATTTGTATACATTTGCTGAATAGCAAGCAAGTACAGTACCTGTTTTGCAAACTCTCCATTACACTTTTGTTGATGAGGTGTGGCATATGAGCAGGGACCCTTCGAGCCTGATAGCCATATTCAGAATTGTACAGGCGATTGACGTGAAGAAGGGATTCAGCAAACATGTCAAGTAGACGTCGTTGGCCACTGCGTCGTTGTCCATAATCTCCATTAACTTCTGCACTTTTAAAAGCTCCAACAGAAAATAATTCCTGTTTTTCCCAAGGAAGGCTGCCCAAATATGTCAATAAGGTTCCAGTGTTTATATTCAACTTTTTTTTGTGCGCTGCAATTCTATTGGAAAGCGGCAAATCATTAATTTCCTTTATTTTGTCCAAATATGACTCCTTTACTGACATTTGAGACCATAACAAGGACCTGGAGTTTGTTCTTGTACTGACATTTTGCGATTCAATTTGATTCAAAGAAACCCGTCTAATTTCCTTCTCGTTATGGACTTTAGTCTGTTCATCTTTAAGTACATTATAATTTTTTAATTTCATTTCACCAGAGGGAAGCTTTTCATCTTCATACCACTCACTAATTTTATGATAAACCAATTTATGATCAGCATTGGTTCGTAAATATTTTTCAACGAGGTTTGATTTCTTCCTTTTTAATCCAAGGAGGGTCAGTTCTTCATTTTTAAACAGACTTTCTAAATGACGAATTTTTATACCGAGAGATTCTGGTAGATTTGATGCATTAACATTAACTAGAGCATATTTCATATCATCGAGACTGACTGGTTCTTTATTCTTTAAAATGTTTGGAACCACTTGGTCGAAAGTAAAGTTTCTGGCATTTATAGGAGGCCTGGATGCAGGTTTCTGTACAGTCCCGAGTACGTTATTTGCAGCTGGGAATGTGTTACATTTAACAGTGATGTCATACTGAAAAATACAAAATAAAAACTATTACTGATGAGGATCTAATGGAATACGTACATCAACAGTTATATAAAAATCAGCAATGGTGATGACCTGTTTGGGTACCTGCATGTTACACCTGCCAATATATTTCACTTACGAGTTACTAAGGTGAGCGATGACTGAATCCTCCACAGAAAACATCTAAAGTGACAACTGACAAAGGCAACTGCTGCCGATCCAAATACAGTAGTTCAACACACTTGCTTAACACTACACCTGATGATACAATCCTCACATTTCAACAAATACAATTACTTACATAAATGACAAATACATTGAGCATCAGTGTTCAAATTGCTTTGTTAAATTTAGTACAGTATATCCATTCTAGTTTGGGCTAAGTCAGTCCATTCACCACAAAATAACTACAACAGAACAGACTGAAATATCATATTACAGAATAGTGAAACAAATCTATTTATAATTAGAATCCGAAGAATGAAGCTGGCTACCCCAGATGTAATGCAGTACAAGAGCACAAATCACCAAGTTATTACAAAGTTTATGAAAACCCACCATGTTGAATGCAATGAAATGCCTCTTTCTGGTTTGGCCTTGAAAGCTCTCTTCCCCATAAGAAATGGGCTTCAGCAGTACAAGAGTTCAAAGAATGGCCAACAAGAATCTAGAATATCTGGGACTTGAAGAGCTAGCAACTCAAGAAGCATGTCAGATGTGTCTGACATCAGGCAAAGGATTTATAATTCACATGCGGAGCCAGCAGCTTCCATGGTGCTGTCACCGGCTGGTGGTCAGCTGAAACTAGGGAATATGTATGACCTAACTACTGGTGGGAATCGTTTCCAGAGTGCTATGCCACATGGTTTGTATACTTTGTGTGACCCTTGCCATTACCTGTTTTACTTCGCTTCCTTTCTTGGGGTTTGCTTCTTCGGTGAGGGCGATTATGAATTCTTTTGCTCCCTTTGCCTCTGTGAGAAAGCCACGTTTCGGCCTCTGGAAGGCTATTATGGACTCCTAGAGTTTATGTGACTTAAATATATACTCATTCAGTTACACTCACCTAATTGTGCTTGTAGAGAGTGAGCTCCAGTTCTTTGGTCCCCACCTGTCAACCATCAATGAACTGGTTTACAGGTTCCTGAGCCCATTGGGCTCTAGCAAATCTACATTTGAAATTGTGTATGGAGTCTGCCTTCACCTCATCCCTTCCTAGTGAATTCAGTTTGTTAACTACTGTCATTGATTTTTTTTTTCTAATGTCTCTTTGGGTCACTTAGGTACTAAGTTTCCACCTGTGTCCCCTTGTTCATGTACCACCCATGTTAAATAGTTTGTCTTTATCCACCCTGTCAATTTTAGGCACAAGGATGGAAGTTGCCTATCACATCAAATATCTTATTATGTTGATTTAAAAGTACTGTACAGTATTTTGCAGCCAGAGGGTGCACTTTTATGAGGAAGTGGAAAGAGCACTCAAATACCACACAGTATTATCTTTAAAATGTAAAAATATACCAAGAGGTGTTGAAAAAGAGAACTTTGTGAGGTCTTTGAAATGCATCCTTCTTTTTCCCAAATAACTAAGTTTGATTAGTGTAAATCAGCTTATGGTGAGAATTCCTCGAAATGCATCCCTCACACATAGGCTGATCATACAGTATAAATTTTTTAAAGCAGATTAACTAGTCAGATAAAAAAAATTCTCTCTAGGCAAGTGCCTTTCACCTCAATAAATATGAGGAATAGGGTTAGTAATTAAAATAATCCCTATGCCTGCAAGTTAAAGGCTTACTCAAACTTGCAACAAAGATAAACATACACTTTACTTATCAACTTTTACCAATTAAAGATTTCTCTCTTACTTTGATATGGTCTCTCTCCTTTGTTGACTCTCCTTTGTGTTCTTTGTTGATTATATCTAACTCGATGTGCAGTGTAGCTGTAATGTTTGTCTTGAGTATGATGAAGAGCATGCCCTGAGCGGTGTTTACGGCAATGGTGCGTAAACCTCGGTGCTCAGTGTGGTGTCCATCCACTGCCTTACCAGGGATTAACAGTGATGAGATATTCATCCACGCAACCAAAACACCTAGAATAAACAAAAATCAGAAAAAAACTTATAATTATATTTGTTTACATTTTTAATTTCAATAGGTGTTAAACCATAACTATTTATTGTGTCATTTATAAATAAAAATGTGAATATAGCTACAGTATCTTCTTCTTGAGGTTATCTTGAGATGATTTTGGGGCTTTAGTGTCCCCGCGGCCCGGTCCTGGACCAGGCCTCCACCCTCAGGAAGCAGCCTGTGACAGCTGACTAATACCCAGGTACCTGTTTTACTGCTAGGTAACAGGGGCATAGGGTGAAAGAAACTCTGCCCATTGTTTCTCGCTGGCGCCCGGGATCGAACCCGGGACCACAGGATCACAAGTCCAGCGTGCTGTCCGCTCGGCCGACTGGCTCCCATAAACACATAACACTCCCTTAGCACAGTAAGTGCTAAGACAACACCAGATAAGTCAAAATGCTATGTATTTGTCACAAGAGTAGTCTCCGACATGCTTTCCATGCAAGAATACTCGAACAAATAATCAGGTAGAGTATCTGCAGAGGGCAAACTTTGTTTTTGGAGAAGGAACATAGACAAAAGAGGGAAAGTCATGTTAGACAAACCTAAGAATATTCTGCAACACGGTCCCTAAAATAAGACCGCAGAGAGAAGGCTGGAAAGATTGCATCTTACTATTTGTCAAAAATAAAGCATTGAATGCAAGAGAAATATTTTCTGCAATAAACTCCATCTTCTGATTAGGAGTTGACACAATCAGGAAAGGTTAACATTTTGCATTTCCACAGCAAGGCACACTTTAAACTGGCCCCTGCCAGATCATACTTGGGATGTAGGGGATGAAAGTAATAGTGAAAGATGAAACAAATTGAAAAGTGATTTATAATACATTATAGTATGAGTGAACTATCTTGCACAGGACAATAGGCCTTCACTAATTTTATCTATTCTTTTTCTTTTATATTTTAAAGGCTTGCAGACAAGGGCCCACCATCACATTGTCAGTTGTACCCACCACCAAAAGACAGTCGATAGGACCAACCATAGCCATGATGTGACCTTCATGAAATTGCCACCTAAAGGAAAGGGATTTGCAGGAACAACCCCTTCACTTACAAAGTGAAGGGGAAATCACAGAGATTTCACCGACAGATTTTGATATCTGCGTGAAGTCAGTTACCAAGTAAAGTTTGACAAAAAAATTAGACACAGCCACAATCTTGTTTTACTTAGAATAAGAATGATAACGAATATTTAGAGGATAAAAACTCACATCTACAGAAAAGACAAACTCCCATAAAATAATAAAGTGCATGTAGTCCACTACAACAACAACATGACTTAAGACAACTCACCTTGTGGAAGAGTATAGGAAGTGTTATAAGATGTAGGAGCAGGCAAATGGTACAAGCGACTGATACTTTCGAGTCCACAATCTCCACCGTCAAAGCCACAGGCTTCAATATTGCAGGACTGGAAAACACAAGTCTTACGTTATTAAAATGCTAAAATAAACTATTTCAATAAAAATGCCAAACTGCATTACTGTCAACCTTAAGACTATGCTTGCATGGTGCAAAATGCGCACTTTCATGTTCAAAGCACCATTAAGAACATCAAAGTAATAAAAGCAATCAAGTCGGCCTAAATTTAAACCATACATTCCCAAAAATAGTAAATTAATTCTATACAGTAGTTAGATATGTATTTATTTGACATGGGTGTTCTACTTATTTTGATTAATATTTGCATGTATGGATATAAAGATGAATATTCAAGCTTATAATACACATTATATTATGTACATATAATAATAATGTACACACACATACAAACGGATATACAATGGGTATACATGATAAATGATATACATGGGTAGCAGCATTGCATCCCCTCTACCCATCTGTAAATAGTGAGGCATAATAATCTTCAATGTATTTACATTTATTTGGAGGAATAAATCCTTATAATTTATGTTTCATATCCGGCCTTCATGTTTGAAGAGAAACTGTTCCATTTTCATTCCCACAGGGCAGTGTTACAAGGAAAATAGTTATGCAATTCATTTTTAACATCAATAGTCATTTTCTACCTCTTATAATAAATACTTCCAAGGCATCCAATTATTTTTCTTCCTTGCATCTCCCTCCACTCTACTTGATTTGTGTAGTAATAATAAAAATGAAACCATTACAAAACTTTACCACTTACATTTCAGTCTTGCACAATTTAATTTCGAATGTTTCATATAGTACAGCAAGCTCTGCCACTTCATTCTTGCCTTTCCTAAATTATTACCTTTACTGTACTTGCAGCAGCATTTACCTTCCTCACTCCACCCTCATATCTCAGCTCTGTCTTCATATCCCTCCCATATAATGATACTGGCTTAGCACTTTCTACTGATTCATTCCTCGTTATTTATTAAATACCAGAGACTCATTATTCACTTTCTGTAACTTTCTCTTTCTCAATTTCAACACACTCATTTCATCTCGGAGAAGCTGATCCATGATATTTTGTTGGTAAATAAATATTTTATTATGAATGCTGCAAAATTACAAGGACTTTACAAAACAAACTCACATGATCACAGTATTTATCTGCCAGCCAGAGATCAGAGCACGACGGTGCACAAAACTCAACAGTCATGTCGGCTCCAAAATCATCCTCAATATCCAACATATCCCCCTCTCCCTTCTCTCCTGTGCAGTCGCCACCGTCCCATTCACACGCAGTCGTGTTACAAGATGTGTCACAGTAGCCGTCACCAAGCCAAGAACCCGGGCATCCTGACGAACATTCAGGCAGCGACCAAGACAGGTACACCTGCAACATTAAATACAGTGATAGGTCTACAATAGACAGTAATCACACAAGGTGTTATCAGGGCTTTACTTTACATGTACACTTTACATATACTTTTTACTTTATTTTTGTCGGTAGCCAGGAAGACAGACCAGAATCGGACTTCGTTTGTGCTCAGTGTGGGATGGACTGCTATTCTCGGATTGGCCTCATCAGTCACACCCGACGCTGTACCAGGATAGACAACCAGGACGCAACTCCATAGTCTTCCGAGACTGAAGGATGCCTACTACTACTTTACATATGGAGTTTTATATTCAAGGAGTTATGAATTGAACAATAAAGAAATATTTAACAATGAACAAGATTTTGATTATCTTATGTTGAAATAGTAAGCCCTCAAGGGCTACAACTGCCATATGTGATTTTTTCCCATTTGTTTCGTTAACCTTTTTAGACATGAGCTGTTTAGGGGTTAATCAATACATGTACATAAGGCAGGATGCTTCATAAATAAGAAGTTAAAGGTTGTAGAAAGCATAAAGTGCTAACAATGATGTAGACATGCCATGAGGAGAGTATAGACTCAATTTGTAGAAGCCTATCCACTTGGACTGGTCGGTATAGTGATGGCCTTGTATCTTGGCATGTAATCCCGATGGCCCAAGTGGAGCACCATTTCTTCACTCCAGGCTCATATTCCACCTATATATCCTCATATCCCTTCAAAGTGCTATATAGTCATACACTGCTTGACATTTTTCCCTCTTAATTACCTTAATTTACCTTTATTTGAAGATGAGATTTGAGCTGCAGGGGATATATAAATTCTAACGTATCTGTATACATATATAGTCCTTATAAAGGAATGAAACAGAGGGAGGGATGATGTCAGTAAGGCAAGAGAGGTTTGAGATTGGTAAAGTGATGTTGCGAGATATGAGGCGATACAGTTTTATTCTTTAAGTACTGTATTAATGTCAAGAGGCTTAGCAATGTTGAATTTGTTTTCATTCTGTTTAATAGCTATGTTCTTTAAAATATATGCAGTTTGTTAGGTTTTCTCCTCCTTATGACTGTATGACAGTGATGTACATATTTGATGGCTGGGTTGTTGCCAACATGAAAGACATTCCTGATACCTGCTTGATGGGGTTTTGGGAGTTCTTCTACTCCCCAAGCCCAGCCCGAGGCCAGGCTTGACTTGTGAGAGCTTGGTCCAACAGGCTGTTGCTTGGAGCAGTTCGCAGGCCCGCATATCCACCACAGCCCGATTGGTCTGGCACTTCTTGAAGAAAACAACTTAGTTTTCTCTTGAAGATGTCCACGGTTGTTATGGCAATATTTCTTATATTGGCTGGGAGGATGTTGAACAGCCAAGGACCTCTGATGTTTATACAGTGTTCTCTGATTGTGCCTATGGCACCCCTGCTCTTCACTGATTCTATTCTACATTTCTTCCATATCGTTCACTCCAGTACGTTGTTATTTTACTGTGTAGATTTGGGACCTGGCCCTCCAGAAGACTTACGTTCATAAATCTTTGCATCAAAGTTTTGGAACACAACAGTTATGCACATTTTGTCACAATTACTATAAGGTGTACACCCCTCTCATATCAATAATAGTTTTGTTTTTGATGAATATATTGACTTGTGGCCTTCCGTTTCAGCATTTTATGCTTGCCTCAGTATTGGGTTCATTTCTGATCTCTATAATTTTATTTCATCACAGAGTGGACAAGTGTAAATACCAAAGGCCCTTTGGTAGGAAATGTGAGTCTACCAAACACTTGGAGTTCGCTGGTCTGACCAAAAACTACCAGAGCTTAAGCTCAAAAGACCTACTAAAGGGAAAGCTTGTAAAATTGGGTCAAAAGCTGCCCAACTTCAATAAGGATCTTCATTCAAGTAAACAAAGTGAGATTCTCTTATTATTGTCTGAAAATTAAGCCAAGCAGATAAACAAAATGGAAAATATAACCTTTACATAATTAATAATAACAAGGAATTGGAAATCATAATGGCATTTTATATCTATACCTTATAACCAGAGGCAGGGGAATAGAAGTCCTCAGGCCAAACTTCAGAGCCAAACATCACATCATCATTCACATACAGAAAGTGTTCTGATAAACCTGGAATTCTGAAAAAAAAACATAATATGCATCATCCTAGAACTAAACAACATTAAAAAGCTGCAGCATGAAATGCATTCATACATACTAATTACAATGTGATACAGAATTATGGTTTCAACCTATTAATCATAGCAGCAGCATCATGAACATTTCAAGAGCGCTCACCGGTGAATATGACTTTCAATTGCTGGGGAAGAAAAAGACGGAAGATGGCTGATATTCGTGAATATTTCTTCATGAGTGATGATAGTTAGCCGTGGATGATCCAGGTTCAGCCAATAAGGAATCTGTCCATTAGTTACCAAAAATATTCTTCGGATCCAAGGTGCATATTTTTCCAAAGATCGCAAAGAATACCGCAGCTCCTGTAAGTTACAGTAATTAGGAATCAACAGAAAAATGAGTATAAGTATTTATGATCAGAATTTATTATCAACAATCAGAATACAAAACAAATATTGTGGCATCCCAAAAATTCCCGACACAGCAGATTTTGTGAAAAAGACCAAATCTGCCAACTGGATTTTTTGTTCGAATTTAGATTCCTAAAAAAGAAAAAACCCAGCATTGTCTGTAATGAAATGCTCTTTTCTTGCTACAGTCCCCCAATTGTGGGCAAGCCCACCACTTTCAATTAAATGCCGGCCAGCCTTGGACTTTGTTCGTCCTGCAAGAAGGGCCTTTTTCTTGACGAGTTCCTTAATTTAGTGTTTAGATTCAGAGGCATGTTTTCTATCCAGCTTATTGTATGGGTTTGACTTTCATTGCATTTAGGTATGTTTTCTTCCTTGGGTGCCTAGTAACACTGCCCTTGCATAGATATCTTCTCTGGTGTATTTAAAGAAGGAGTTAAAGGTACTGTACTTGCAATACTCTGGGTGAGACACCCTACAAAGTAGCTTGGCCTCTATGGGACGAATTCCCAAACTCACTATGTCAGGGCTGGGAAAATTTCAAACAAGTGCCTAAAGAAGGGCAGCCCTAAGCATATGAAGCTTGAGGTGAATAATAACCATAAGTTCACACAACAAGTGAGGTTCATAAACACATGCACATTAAGCTAACACTGAACCTTGAAATAATCCACAAGCAAATGGGCTCCTCAGAGGACAGAGTAAAAAGGATAGGCAACACTTATCTAGAAACAGTTGGGAGCCGGTCGGCCGAGCGAACAGCACGCTGGACTTGTGATCCTGTAGTCCTGGGTTCGATCCCAGGCGCCGGCGAGAAACAATGGGCAGAGTTTCTTTCACCCTATGCCCCTGTTACCTAGCAGTAAAATAGGTACCTGGATGTTAGTCAGCTGTCATGGGCTGCTTCCTGGGGGTGGAGGCCTGGTCGAGGACCGGGCCGCGGGGACGCTAAAAAGCCCCGAAATCATCTCAAGATAACCTTTAAGGCTGGCAACTCAAGGAGTGGTTCACACAGATGGACATCCGGCTAAGGACTGAGGAGTTGCTGGCTTGGGAGCCAGTAGGTCCCATGGTGCTGTCACCTAGCAGTGATAAGCTGTAACAAAGAAGGTTTGAACAAACTACTGGAAGGATCATTTGCTGCTTTGTTTCTCATTTCTTGGCAAATATTGCAGTTGTCTGTTTTGCTTCACTTATTTTCTGGATGTTTCCTTGGTGAGTGACTGTAACAGTCCTCTGGTCTCTGCACCTCTGAGTGGGCCAGGTTTTAGCTTTGGTCTCCGGTAGTCTACTAAAGACTCTTGGGGCAGCTGCAACTTGTATGTGTATACCTACCTCAGTGTGGCTAGAGTCAGGAAGCTGCAGTTGGGTCCCTTCAGAAAATATACAACTCATTTAATGAATCTTAAAATCTAAATATTGAATACCTCGTGCAGGATCCTGCTAAAAAGCCACGGCAATTTCAGAGGAACATTTCATACAAAAGGATGGAGGCAAACCAATATACCTTTCATGCATATAAGGTAACACCGAAGGTGTGAACAAAAAATTACATATATTTTAGCAAAACAGTGCTCACCTCATTATCCTCAAATCTATTGACATCAACTTCCTTCAAGTGATCTTCAGTGTCTGGCTGAAGCATCAGCATGGCTTGTCGAATTTTAATCACACTTTTGAGTGAAATCTCTATGTGAGTTTTGGACTGAAGTAACGTGGTGATTAATCCATCTTCCTTACACTCCACAAGCTGGACACTTGATGACCCAGACACATTGCACTAGTAACAAAATAATTATGTAAAAGAACAGCATTGAATGTAATGAAATGTTTGATTCTAGTGAGTCCTTAGTGGCTCGTTGTTAGCTATCTGGATATCTCCACCTAATTCAATCCATGCCAGAATCCTTGTTATTCATAGCAAGCCTACCAAGGACAAGCGGCCAAAACCTGGTTCCCCTCTATAGATGCACAAGGAGCAGAGGATACTAGATCACTCTAACCAAGAAAAGGCCACCAGAAAGGTGGGCAAGCCATAACTTATAAGGTAAACACAGCATAGAAAACAAGATAACGAATCCCCAAAAGAAACAAACCCCCTGGGAGTGAAGCAGTGCACTCGTTAGTTCCACTTGTGCACTGCCAGGGAACTGTGCACCTTCTTCTTTAATCAATCTAGCCTAGACATGCTGATCATTTAGCCAGGAAAATGGAAATACTGAAGCCCCTGACTGGAGAAAAGGGATCCAAAATGACCTGCCAGAAAGAGACCTCTCATTACATCCAATGCTGGTTTTCTGGGAAGGCTTCGATGGTGGCTTCTTGTTGCTGTGTCACTACAGAGAACAAAACAAAGGGGCAGAGGAGAGCTGCAGAAAATAACCCTGATAATAGGGGGGAAATTAGTGATGCATTAACTACCCCCCCAAGCCACACACAAGTCCTGTGTGGACCAGGAACATTAACCAGGTAATAAGTCACCAGTATTGTACTGGTGACTTGTTGGAACCCCAAAATCCTACAGCCCTTAACATCTTCGCAAGACATAATACAAAATAAATGAGTGAACAGAGCTGCAAACTCATGAACATCATGGACCCAAAGGTCCATGATGTTTGTAAGTTTTGATGTTCCAAGGCTCCTCTTATGGTCATGTTTAAGTCTAACAGGGACCTACCTGGTCCCCAGTAGGCTTCTACATGACTCGCTAGGGACTGGCATGGATTGAATTCAATGGAGCTTGCCAGGCAGCAAGCATCAACCTAAGGATCTCTACCAGAAACCTCATTATTATTCTAATGTACAAACTTCTAGCTCAGTTTTCTTCAGGAAAAACAGACAATTAGAAACAAAAGTTATTGAAATTGTAATGAATAAAAAAAAAGCAACAACTTACTACTATTAATAGTTTAGAATGATATAATATTCACTCACTAAGGCTGTAATGTTTGTGCGATGAGGGAAGAGAGATGTGAGGAGGGTTTGATGAGGTACATCTCCACCCCCAGTAACCAGCACTGCCTGCTGTTGCTTCATACCCCAACCACCACCAACATCTGTGAAACAATGTTACATCAAGCAACAATATTATTAACTATATGTAAATTGTTAGCTTAACATTACCTTAACTTGCATTTCCATTGAAAAACTGTAAAAAAAAAGTCCAAAAGTATAGATTAGGACTTGGGGGGAGCTGTTCACAAAGATCAATAGTTCATTAATCAGATGTTCATAATTTGCTTGTTTGTAAGTTAGAGACTTCCTGTAGTCAAATTTTATATGAACAGCTGTCTGGGCAAGTGCTGATTTAGTATGTTGACCAGACCACACACTAGAAGGTAAAGGGACAACGACGTTTCGGTCCATCCCGGACCATTCTCAAGTCGATTGTGTTTATCACCTAGTGTGTGGTCTGGTCAACATACTTTAGCCACGTTATTGTGACTCATTGCCTGAGCTGATTTAGTATCGTTATTTTCCATGTAAACACTACTAAAACCTAGGTTTAGACAAGTCTAAAACATTATCAATATGTTGAGTACTGTATATCAGTCAGTATACTCAATGATAAGGAATATTTCATCATTAGCATACCTAATAATGTAGTCATTGGATATTCTAGGCATGGAATTTAATAGTGCACTGATTGCTACATAAAATGAGGCAGAACCAAGGATGCTAATATAATGAGCTAATTATGCAACAAATGTTACATTTCTAAGGGTAACACATTTGTTAGATGCTGTTACCTGGGAACAGTAAGCAGTAACTTATGAATGGGGGCAACAAGAAGTTTGTGAGAATACTAAATGCCAGACTGTGGATTTTAAATTAGCACTTTGGTTTATCATACGGTTTTCCTTAGTCAGAGTCTGGAAGCTTGTAGACTGATTGTGGTCAACACAGGCCAACTACTGATGACCTTCCCCAGGATGCAACCCACAACAGTTGCCTAACTCCCAACTGTCTCCCATCCTGGGACTGAACCCCGGATCCTCAATTATGAGTTAGTTTAGTTTAGTTCATTTATTATGCACCACACCCATCTTGTGGGCGGTAGTGGAAAGGGTTACAGAGGCACATAATGGGCTCAGGGACTGAACCCCACAATTCATTTAGCTAAGCAAGTTACAATCTTGATGAGCTAGTTACAAAATTCAATATAAGTCGTCACATCAACATAGGCCTCATAGCTCTGAGTTGTTTTAAATGTACTTTCTGGCAGTCATTTCAGTCTGAACTGAGTCTTCTCTAGTATCTCACTTGTACCAATAAGGCCCGACAGGGAAAGCTATATAAAAGATCTAGCTGTGCGGGTGTAAACTATTAACCAAGCCTGACTAAGCACAGACTGACCTGGAGCCAGGAGATTTTTGCTTTAGGGAGAAATAGTGATATAGATCACAATGCACTTGATCAAACAACTGCAACAGCTGCATTTGCTTATTAAATGAGAGTAACAGCAGCCAGACAAGAAATGAAAATAGCTCTTACAATTTTCAGCAACATAACCTTCAAGTAATATACTAAATTAATATCAGATTATCACTAAAGGTCTATCATTCCTCAATAATTTAACACATTATATTTAAAATCTTACACCATCTAATTCAAAATACACATAAATGAGCGGAAAATTTATATCCTACACTATTATTTATCCTTTTTATACATAAAGTAAAGAATGGCCTACTGTACATCATTTGTCCTAGCAATACTTTACAGCATTCTGAAATATAAAACATATACCTGAAGTCCAGTAGGCCTGTTTTGGTTGTGAGCCATTTCTTGCAAGAAGTGATATTTTCTCCAGAATTGTTGGAATCTGACTCACTTCCGTTACACGAATCAAAGTAAAGTTGTGAGGCCGACTATTGTGCGTAACTAACAGATGCCCAACTTCAAGTACTGAAGGTATCGATTTTAATTTGGCCTTTGATAATGCGGAATCTCTGAAAAACAATGATTTAATTTAATATCAACAATGTCTCTTGGAACAAAATAATTTGGCTGCTCTCTAAAGTACTCTTCGCTGTGTCCACTGGATGGGACGACACACTGGCACCAGTACCACAGGGATGTTTCCAAGCAGTCCTTAAAGGTGTCATTAACAAGTTGACAACAGCACGCTTCATCTGCAGTACATTGTTGATTTCTCATGTAGCCACGTGTGTCTACCAGTGATACACTTATAAAGACATACCATTCCTCTCACTGTAATAGCAATATCAAACACCCAGAAATAAACATCGATGTTTGAACAGCATTAGAACCACTTGTGCGTAGTACCAGTGGACACCAGCCACAGCATGAAAACCTTGCACTGTACCACCTATGGAAAATGGAAATGACGAACATGTTAAAGGCTGCTAGGGAGTTATTGAGGAATACTTAATCCATCCCAGAATGTCTGGTAGAGGTCCCTTCATGAAAACTGAAAGAACTTCTGAAACATTCCTTGGCATCACAAGCAACCATCAGAGGAGGGCTCTCACTGTAGAGTGCTCTATGACTACCTTAACACACTTAAGGAATGCACAGAGAAATAGCTGTTAAAGTTCAACCCCTCAACAATTGCAAGAAATTGAAAATGAAAAATGACTTGGGGGAGATAATTTCAGTACTAACACTGGATGTGCACACAAACAGAACAACAATGGTAGCTTATGTGAAGCTGGCAAGCATGAGAATTTATTTGTTATTTACTTATACTGTATATGCAATAGCTCTTACATTCTTGTACAGCCACTAGCACACATAGCGTTTCGGGCAAGTCCTTAATCCTAATTTTCCCTGGAATACGAATTTCCCAGAATCATTTAACAACCAGGTACCCATTCACTGCTGGATGAATGTAGGCTACAATTAAGGATTAGCACCTAGTAAATCCTCCCCGGCCAGGATACAAGGCCAGGCTAAAGAGCTTGCGAAGTTGCAAGCGAGTGTTTCACCACTATGCCACAGAGACTGCTAATGCTATCTGAAATCCTAAACAAGTTATTTCGTCAAAATATTTCCTACAAGCAATGATCAACAGGAAATTCACTTCCAAATATTGTTTAATAATTAGTCAGTTGACTAACCTAGTGGTTACCCCAATCCACCTCAAAGAGCCAAAGCTCAACCCCTGCAAGCACAACTAGGTGAATACAAGTGTCAGGACGAGCCATGGTGCCAGAAGTGCCTAGAGACTCGACCTAACTTTCTTCCCCAGCTCTAGGGTAACTACCGAGAGGCATTGCCCAGAAATCTGTGTTCAAAGGCATAAAAATATGAGAATTTCACAAACTCAATATTTACTTTCTACTTCAACTAAAATACATATGATTCACTTTTATTACCCTTAACTAAGAACTACATAACTTACATTAGGGTAACTCTTATAAAATAAAATTAATATACAGTATACTATATAATAAGCAGAACAAGGCATAAAATATTTTGTAAAACTATTTCCGTAGAGGCATTTATACCATTTGACTGGTTTGAATCCTTCAGCCATTAACAAGGATCTGTACCAACTCAAGCCCATACGTACAGTAAGCTGATATATGGTGAAGGAAGGCAGTGTGAGAGAGGACAGGAGTCGTGTTCACGCTCGGCTGACAGGGATTTCAGTCCTTCCAATAGCTTTGGATCAGAGCCATTAACCCAAGTATATACAACATCAATTGGGAGACCACTGGACAGTCTGTAAACAAATATTTATCAAACTTTCTCCATGTTGCTGTTTTGTTATTTCTCGTGCATTTAAAAATTAACTTACATCATTTAGTTCAAATCCTATACAGTCAAGTGTGTCTCATGTCTAACAAAACCACACTAAATATTATACAAATATATTTGACATCAACTTACATACTATTATACATCAAAGTTTTTTAAATGCTACTACTATTTATCAATTTATTCAGACTATCTCTCCAACAGAAGGAACAAAGACAATGGCAAATACTACAGGAATGAAGTGCCAGGCACAATTTTTTTATATACTACTGTACACCTAATTTATGTTGTTCTCAAAACTTAGGTTTCTAGATATCTTGAATATATAGCAATTATATATTGAACAAAGGGGGCTCCTTTATACTGGTGACTTGCATCAAGAGAGAGAGAGAGAGAGAGAGAGAGAGAGAGAGAGAGAGAGAGAGAGAGAGAGAGAGAGAGAGAGCGAGAGAGAGAGAGAGAGAGAGAGAGAGAGAGAGAGAGCGAGAGAGCGCGAGCGAGCGAGAGAGAGAGAGAGAGAGAGAGAGAGAGAGAGAGAGAGAGAGAGAGAGAGAGAGAGAGAGAGAGAGAGAGAGAGAGAGAGAGAGAGAGAGAGAGAGAGAGAGAGAGAGAGAGAGAGAGAGAGAGAGAGAGTCACTGTGATTAAAGTGATGCTTACACTGGCCACATTTAGGCAGGTTACCTGTGCAGTGGTAATGCTTAACGTAAATGCCAGTTGCTGGTGATTGGTAAAAGAAAAACAATCAAAGGCCATAGCAAGGAGTAAAGTCTCAACCTGGTATTTAACCCCTACTGATTTGCATGCATCTTTGTCTAAGCACAAAACAAAGCAATTTTCCTTAACCAAGGGGAGGAGGAAGGAACTAATGAAAGGAGGGAGTGAGGAACAAAGGGGAGGAGTGAGGAACAAAGGGGAGGAGTGAGGAACAAAGGGGAGGAGTGAGGAACAAAGAGGAGGAGTGAGGAACCAAGGAGAGGAGTGAGGAACCAAGGGGAGGAGTGAGGAACCAAGGGGAGGAGTGAGGAACAAAGGGGAGGAGTGAGGAACAAAGAGGAGGAAGAAGCAGCCAAGGGGCTTAGGGAGGGAAGGGAATTATCAGGGGGGGAAAGTGCCAAGCCATTATGGTATCCAACACTCATGATCCCGACCATCAGACACTGTAGATGAAGAATTATATGGATGAAGAATTTAGAAGATTAACTATAAAATCATCAAAAATAACTTACTTTTCTAATAGATTTTCATTTTTTATGTTGTCGGTAAAAATATTCAGAGATCTATCAACGGCAAGATTAACTTCATCCTGGGAAGAACAAATATAAATAAATTATTTAATATAATATTGAATACACAATTTTCTATCCATCATTATGTGTATGAAAAATGTTCATATTATATATATTATATATACAGTATATGTATGTCGTACCTAATAGCCAGAACTCACTTCTCAGCCTACTATGCGAGGCCCGATTTGCCTAATAAGCCAAGTTTTACTGAATTAATATATTTTCTCTAATTTTTTTCTTATGAAATGATAAAGCTACCCATTTCATTATGTATGAGGTCAATTTTTTTTTATTGGAATTAAAATTAACGTAGATATATGACCGAACCTAACCAACCCTACCTAACCTAACCTATCTTTATAGGTTAGGTTAGGTTAGGTAGCCGAAAACGTTAGGTTAGGTTAGGTTAGGTTAGGTTAGGTTAGGTTAGGTAGGTTAGGTTGTCGAAAAAACATTAATTCATGAAAACTAGGCTTATTAGGCAAATCGGGCCTTGCATAGTAGGTTGAGAAGTGAGTTCTGGCTACTAGGTACGACATATATATATATATATTATATATATATATATATTATATATATATATATATATATATATATATATATATATATATATATATATATATATATATATATATATATATATGTGTGTGTATATCACGAAAATAAACACGTGATTAAGAATGTGACAATGTCAGACCACGGAGGAAAAATGAAACAGGAAATTTCCTCAAGTACTTTCGTATATTAAATACATCTTCAGAAGGTCATTTTTCAGATCGAGTGATGGGTATAAATAGGCAGGAAGGAGTGGTGAAGTAAGGTGAGGTACAATACTTGGACAACGCAGACGGCCCATTGGCCCATCAGATGCACCCAATTGGCCCATCCGATGTAGCCCAATGGCCCATCTGATACAGTAGACATACAAGCATAATATATAGGTAATTATAACATAAAGAAGTAAATATGTATACAATAAATTAGTGAGACAAATGTTTTTCAATGATTCTACTTAAATCGCCCTTTAGCTGATCTATTAGAAATGGATCTAAGTTATATAGACCACTGCTAATATTCAAATTACTTTCTTTGGTGATCTGTATCAAAGCAGATTCAATTATGTTTCTGTTATAGGTGCTTTTACAATTTGTTATTGAAGAAGCACTCTCCCAATCAATTTGGTGAGCTTTTTCTGACAAATGCACAAACAAAGCATTAGACAATTGGCCATGTCTTAGAGTATTTATGTTGCGATATTCTACATTTTAAATCTTTAGATGTTTGCCCGACATAGAACTTATTACATTCCTTACAAGGTATTTTATAAATGACGCAATTATCACTATGAGGGCTGTTCCTTACTAATAGCTTACCAACAGTGTTTTCGTAGCTAAACATTACATCTATATTAAAAAGTTTCAAGGCCTTGACAATATTCTCAAACCCAGAGAAATATGGTAAACATAACACATTCTTTGGGTGAATCCTTTCACTGCATACATTATTATAATATGTACGACGAGCTTTGTTACGACAAACTTCAAAAAAATTCAGTGGGTAACAAAGCTTAAGACCAATCGAATCAATATTCTTAAATTCTTCATCTAAGAATTCTGGACTCACAACTCGAAGAGCTCTTAGATACATTGAAGAAAAAATTGACTTTTTTACATTGTATTTATGCCCTGAAAAATAATGAACATAAGATAAATTGTTCGTAGGTTTTCTGTAAACACTAAACTTTAATGAAGAGTTTTCCCTATGAATAAGCACATCTAAGAATGGCAAACATTTATCAATTTCAGTCTCCATAGTAAATTTTATGGAGGTGACTTGGTCATTAAGTTTGGCTACAAATTCGTCTGTGTTTCATTTTTCCTCCGTGGTCTGACATTGTCTCATATATATATATATATATATATATATATATATATATATATATATATATATATATATATATATATATATATATATATATATATATATATATATATATATATATAATATATAATATATATATATATATATATATATATATAATATATAATATATATATATAATATATAATATATATATATTTATAATTATTTTACTGTATAAATAATGAAAGCTTGACATCCATATCAAGCAAGTTTTCCAATCAATCAACATACAAGCAACCTGGGCCTGACAAAACAGGTCAGGTGAATGGGAACGTAATTCACCAGAATTTATCTCAGGAGTGCACACACACACCCCAGTTTGAGACCCCCCCCCCCCCCCTTGCATTAAGATAATGCAGTCAGGTTATCTTGAGGGTTATCCCGCAGCCTGATCCTTGACCAGGCCTCCTTTTTTTGCAGTCAGGTAACATCTATGCTCAATGGGGAAATTTTCTTTACCATTATGATAATGAGTAAGTGCTTAGTCTCACTAGACCTATTAAACAATATTCAAAGGCAGGATATGCTGATTCCTAACACCATAATGATATAATGGTCTGAAAAGTTTCATGTGCATTGATGGCTCATGGAGTAACCATGACAGATGACAGGGGTTTAGCATTACAGTGAATAGCAGCATTTGCATACCTACTTTAATATACAGTATTATATATCACCAGAATGACTACAACTTAAGCCTAGTAAACTCTTTCCTAAACTCATAACTATAAATACATACTCTACATTATTAGATAGAGATCCATGGGGAATAGAGTTCATTGCATGAGGGATTAAAATAGTATCAAGATCAAGTAAGTAATTACTGTATCAAAAGAAGACACCAAACCAGGAAGGCTATGTAGCACTGTATCAAGTTCAAACTACTCTTGCTCAATAAAATCTCAAGAATATGATGAATATATGAAATAAGAATGCTGTATATGGATGAAAGATGGGACTAAACCCGCATACCAGAATACCCGTGACCCATGCACTACCGACTGGGCCATGATGGGTCGTGTGTGTGTGTGTTTGGGATGTTCAAGGTTTGCAGGTTTGCTATCATATGGCCTCAATATTTTCTCAAACTATTTTTTTTATATCCCCTCATTAGTGTTTCCTCAGAAAGCATTGACTGTGGCAATGTACCAGAGGACTGGAAAAGAGCAGTGACTATTATTCTAAACAAATGTGAATATGATAAGTAAGAATTATATTGGCATTAATTTATTCAAGTGCAGTTGAAGGGCTAAAAAATAATTTTTGGTGTGGGTTATGGCTTGCATTAAAATTATACAGTGTAATTACATTTACTGAATATTTCACATGTAAATATTGGTACAGCAGATATACTAGACTTACCAGCCAATGGGCACACCAGAAGCCGATGGCAAAAACTGAGAAGAAGATTGTTAAAACTACAGCTACCAGTGGAGGAGGGTGTGTCAAAACGGCATCCAGAATCCTTTTCTGAAACCATTTGCCGAGTCCACGCATTCTACAATCTTATCACTCCCTTAATTCCACCATTACTTCACCCTAAAAGGAAAAATACATATAACAGTCCTATATAAGGCCAATGTATTAATATTCATTTTCATCATTTTAATAAGGTACAGTAGTACCTAGTTTTTTCTCATATACTGTACAAGAGTGCATGTTGATGGTGAGCAAATCAGGAGTGTAGCATAGATATCTTCTAATAATTTGCACATTGAAGACTTTATGGCAATATGGGCGATTTCAGAATAGATGAATAATAGCACTTGGTTGGAGTAAGGTTTCTGATGTAGTGTGCAACAAGACATTTAAAAGAAATTGCATGTGGATAAGGGAGATCAGAATTTTGTTTCCTAATCTATAATGCTGATGAAACACCTTTTGTGGTGAAGTAGGTCAAGTAGAACACTTGCTAGCAGACTAGAGGTTACTGTGCCAGATTGCTCATTTAGACTAAAATCTTTACTTGTAAAACTGCAGGGTCAAGATTAAACACTGCATGCACTGACTTTCTCTGCTCTACTGTACAGTAACCATGACTGGATCATTTGAGAGTATTTTTGGAGTAGTTTTATGAGCATTTTTGTAAGAGATAAAATGTGTTCTAAATATATCTATGCGAGAAAGAGATTAAGCAAATAATATACAGTATTGGCATTACTGCTGTTGGGTAATGCTCCAGCATATCTTGATGTAAATGCAGTAGATTAAAATCGGTGAATGGCAAAATTGTGTACATGCCTCACATCCAGCCTATGGATCAGAAAGCAATTTTTATTGTTAAGAGATTGCATGGAAAGAGAGAAGCCAAGTAAAAGAAGCCAAACCTAATAAAATGCACAATATGAGATGCCATTTACAACTGGCAAAAAGCTTGAGGCTTGCTTAATCCTTGGGCAGCGGCTTTGTAAAAATGACCCTACCCGCCGATGCGCAAACAAATTAAAAAAATAATCTTTCATTATAAAATTATTCATTTGTACACAAAATGTAAGAAAAAGACGAAAATAAGTGAATATTTATTTTCATTGGGTGGAAGCATTCTGAAAGGTTGCATAGTGACTGTCTGGTGTCTGTCAACGCCTCGTGCTCCACTTTGCCGACGCTTCATGTGTTATCATCCGATGCTTCACCACTTGTTTCTCTTTATTTACAAGAGTATGTGTGTTGAATAGCTTGATAAATTAAATAATTGACATAACACATGATAATGCTTCAAGTGATGATTGGTTTACCTGGTATACTCCATTACAACCAGAATAGAGTAGGGAAAACATTTGAACATAATATTCAATGGTGTTGGGTTCTGGGCAATGACATATGACCTAAATGACACAATATGGGTGAGAGTATAGATTGAAACAAAGGGGTAAGCCACTAATGCACACCCCACAAATGATAATTGTAATATGATAATAACTGCATTCACCTAATAACTAATGAGCAATAGGATTTACTAGCAATTAATGAGCAGGACTTTTTCAAGGGTCAAGATAAACTCCATTACAACCACATAGACCTATTATATCCTTATTTGCATATTTTGTGTAAAACCCAGACAATATTTTTTAAATCGTCAAATGATGACAACTGCATTACCCATGAATTAACATATGACGATGAGCTTTGCCTAAGGATTAAGAAAACTACCTTGCAAAAACCCCGAAACAAGTTTAAAAAGCTGAAAATACATACAAGTGACAACACAACCGCTCACTATGAATGCCGGGGTTAACTAAGCCTTCTAGCTGTGGGGTTTCAGAAGGAAACGTTGTCCCTGACATCACATTCATGGTACATGACATCACAGTGTCCACTTTGTTCAAGTGGACACTGTTGTCATGGACCCGCCACATACTTCTGTCTCAAATGTCACCCACAAGACTATCCTCCTTTTTCCCCCATAAGTATGCAACGCCTCGAGCAGGGCACCGCATACTTTTGACAAATACTGTATGTAAAAGGTAAGACATATCTTTTAGACAGAGAGATGACAAACGTAAGCAAACCGACAAACTCGGAAGAAAACACAGAAGAAGGAACTTGTTCCTGAAAAATTATGTGTTATCATTTATAGGGTAAGGTAAACAAAAAATAAAAAAGTCAGCTAGCCTTCACACCACTTAACATGTTAATGACCTCATACATCAGTCAACATGTCATCCTACACAAGTTGTCACCTCCACACACGAGTGACCATACCACCCTATTCTCCCTACACAAGTCAACATGGCACCCCCCAACAGTCTCCAAATTTCTCTTTATTTGCACAATTTACGTGAAGGTCTCTTCACCTGACGAGTACACAGGTGGTGTTGCATGGAGGCGCGCCACTCATCAGCGTATAATAGGCATTGTCCCCCGAAAAGTCCCGGACTTGCTGTGGGAACCTCTGGCTCCGTTGGTTGTTTTGGTAGTGTAAAGAGATCGCTTCTCTTGCCATTATAAAACTTTCGTTTTCTTTGGTGCAAACACGCGTTTCTTTTCTCACGCTTTATATATATTTATACTATTTACTTATTTATTTATATAGAAAAAGGTTTATTGGATTGTCAGAGTATATAGCATTGGTGTTTGTTACATTCTTGCAAAGCCACTATCACGCATTGCGTTTCAGGCGGGTCCTTATCGCAACAGATTAAAAGAGCAATTACCAAGGTACATTGTAACATAATTTTGTAACTACAACAAAAATGTATTGAATTGATTATACTGGCGATGTTGCATATCTTAAGTACTAAAATTGGGTGAGTGAGTAGCATAAGATACAGTGCGAGTTTAAAGCACAATGTAGGGAAACTATGAGGAGGTAATTAGGTATTTTCTGGTCTTACTTTTGAATAAAACATAGATTTGACTGTTTTTTTTAATTCATTAGGGAGTGAGATCCATAGACTGGGGTCCTTTTATTGGCGTGGAGTGTTTGCACAGATTTAGTCTAACGTACTCTAGGGATATCGAAGAAATATATAATTTTGATGTGGTGTTCATGGGTTCTATTACAATCAAGGAAGAGTTTCAGATCAGGAATAGCATTTAGGAACAAAGTTTTGTACATGTAAATAGCATACGACAATGTGTGGGTCGAGTTTATATTTAGGGATTTAAACAGAGGGACTGTGCGTTGTCTGAAGACCGTTTGTTAATAGTTCTGATAGCAGATTGTTGATGGGGTTGAGGTAATTTGCAGTGGTTGAACCCCATGCACAGATACCATATGTAAGTTAGGGATAGATTAGTAATACAATGAGAGGAGAGCAGAGTGGGGAACATTAATATCCGATTTTACAGAATATACCGTAAATTTTTGAAACTTTATTGGCTATGTGCTGTGTTTGGGTGCTGTCTCTTATCTATGTATAGGCCAAGGAACATTCCATCATTTTTATTGCTAATGTTATCATTGTCTATCTGAAGTTGAATTTGGTCTGATGATTTACTTACAGATAAAATGTAGTAGACATTTTTTGTTTATTGCGAGTTTGTTGGTCGACATCCATGAGTGGATTTTTTTTTTTTAATTCGTAATTAACAATATTATTTAGTGTGGAAAGGTTGGGATCTGAATGGATGACGGTAGTATCGTCAGCAAATAGTGTAGATTAAAGAACGTGAGAGACATTTGGCAAATTATTAATGGACATAAGAAATTGGAGAGGTTCTAAGATGATGCCCTGTGGCACCCCTTATAACTTATAACCTCCCATTATTGAAGGGGGAGGCTATAACATAAGAACAAAGGCAACTGCAGAAGGCCTATTGGCCCATACGAGGCAGCTCCTATTTATAACCACCCAATCCCACTCATATACATGTCCAACCCATGCTTGAAACATGTCCAACCCATGCTTGAAACAATCGAGGGACCCCACCTCCACAATGTTACGCGGCAATTGGTTCCACAAATCAACAACCCTGTTACTGAACCAGTATTTACCCAAGTCTTTCCTAAATCTAAACTTATCCAATTTATACCCATTGTTTCGTGTTCTGTCTTGTGTTGATACTTTTAATACCCTATTAATATCCCCTTTGTTATGTCCATTCATCCACTTGTAAACCTCTATCATGTCACCCCTAACTCTTCGCCTTTCCAGTGAATGCAACTTAAGCTTTGTTAATCTTTCTTCATATGAAAGATTTCTAATTTGGGGAATTAACTTAGTCATCCTACGCTGGACACGTTCAAGTGAATTTATATCCATTCTATAATATGGCGACCAAAACTGAACTGCAAAATCTAAATGGGGCCTAACTAGAGCAAGATATAGCTTGAGAACCACACCAGGTGTCTTGTTACTAACGCTGCGATTAATAAATCCAAGTGTCCGATTTGCCTTATTACGAACATTTATGCATTGATCCTTTTGTTTTAAATTCTTACTAATCATAACTCCCAGATCCCTTTCGCAATCCGACTTCGCAATCTCAACACCATCTAGCTCGTATCTTGTAACTCTATCATCATTACCTAACCTCAGAACTTTACATTTATCAGCATTAAACTGCATCTGCCAATCCTTTGACCATTTCAAAACCCTATCTAGATCCCTATCTAGATCTATAATAATGTAAAATTAATATTACTAATATAACATAACGTTTGTCTCATATCATGAGTGACATATTGCTCGTGATATGAACGAATTCCAGTTCTAAATTTCATCACTCGGTTACCCTTACAGTCTTTCACCTATGAGAAGATCTGCACCAGTACATGCACTAGTGTCCCTACACTCTACTGATGCACTAGCACTTTGTTAAATTCTCTAATTAACTATTCATAAGTTAACTAAGTTATATCCTGCTTTAACACTAGCTTATAGTTATACTTGTATCTACTTATCATCATACCGTGTTAAATATATAACACCGTACTGCGTAATTGGATTACACTCAATTGAATTGAGTATCTGCTTCACTCATTAATTATTTGTAACGAGGATAGACAACTACTTTGACAATAGCTTAGTTAACTTCCGTGCTTTATCTATTAAGTTAACTAAGTTATAATAGTAAATTATACATATAAAGTTAATTTATAATAATAATTATTGTAAACTACTTAAATTAATTTAAATAAAAAGTTCCCATACACGTTAATAGTTTTCCTTCAAGGTGCAGAAAATATATGTTCATTCATTCGTGTTATGATTTTTATCAAACAATAATAAGAGTAACTATCAAGAGAAGGCACCAAGCTTTAAGAAAACTACTGTACAAAAATCAGGGAACAAGTTTAAATAGCTGAAAATACATATAAGTGACAACACAACCGCTGACTATGAATTCAAGTTTGTTTATTGAGACAAGAAAGAAATACATCTCAAAGAGATTGAAATTGAAATTGAAACTCAATCTCTTTGATACTCAAAGAGATTGAGTAGCTTAGGCTATTTCTATAACCCCCCCCCCCAATTTCTACTCACTATGAGTGCCCGGGGTTAATATGCCTCCTAGCTGTGTGATTGATGATTGAGGAAGATTAAGCCACGCAAAAGGTGGCACGGGCATGAATAGCCCGTAAGTGGTGGCCCGTTTGAGCCATTACCAGTATCAGTAGATGATACTAGAGATCTGTGGAGGTGCGACTGCACCCTGCGTGACGGGAGATGTCTCCCGTCCAGCTGTGTGGACACCATGGACCCGCCGCATACTTCTGTCTCAAATATTTCCACCCACAAGACTATCCTTTTTTTTCGCCATAAGTATGCGACGCCTTGAGCAGGGCACCGCATACTTTTGACAAATAATTCGTCAAGTGTACTTGATACTAGTGTATCAATTATACCTAACAATTATTTATGCCTATGAAATAATACTAGCTTACAAAAGTGTATAGTTCTTGGACTAAACTATAATAAGCCATAAGGATGAAACCTCGACTCCTTAGTCCTTAGACTTCCTTAGTCCTAACGTGGCACTGGAGCTAAATTTGATTTGTTTAATATTTACCATAAATAGAAGTATACAATAACATTATAATTTGGATGAATGTGTCTAGCTGTCCACATTTACAAGCTTGGGAGATTAAGGCAGTGTCTGGGATGCTCCCGGAAGCAGGTTCAAATCCTCGTCACGGCCCTTGTGGATTTGTTCAAGCTTGGGAGAGTCAGACTGTTGAAAGACTGGTAGTATAGTGATGCTGACTACAGTAACCACCTGAACAGTGTCGTCAGCGTTCACTATCACCTGCTGTGGAGGAGTAAGGACAAACTAATAGAGGGGCCATCCACAAACCTCTAAGAATTTTTTTTATCTCAAACACGCACGTACCAGCACTGAAACGTAAACACTGTATCGTTCAAGCGTGAGCGTTGAAGAGGAGTCATTCTTGAGATATGAACACACCTGAATACCGCGCTTATAACATGAAAACCGAACAAGATCATACTTGAAATTAAATAATCTCCCTAAACTTGAGAGAATTCCAGGGAAGAGAGTTCGCCCCCATCATACGGCCTCTATATTTTCTCGATATCAAAATAATAATATGAAGACCCACAGTTGATTACGAAGTCGTATGGAGCAGGTCAGAAAGAGATCGCTCTTAGTTGTTACAAGGCTTCCATCGGTGATGGAGTACCAGGGGTTACCGTTGTTGTCAACAAAGACTTCGGTGCTGGAGTACCAGGGGTTACCGTTGTTGTCAACAAAGACTTCGGTGATGGAGCACCAGGGGTTACCGTTGTTGTCAACAAAGACTTCGGTGATGGAGCACCAGGGGTTACCGTTGTTGTCAACAAAGACTTCGGTGATGGAGCACCAGGGGTTACCGTTGTTGTCAACAAAGACTGCTGAAGAGTCTCCAGCAGTAGAGCCAGAGACAAGAGGCGGAGAGGCAGCAGGCCAGAGATGCCTCGATGGGAAATGATGCTCGTCCCGCCTTTCTCAAACCCTGGCGACAAAGACCATCTGTTGGTTATAAATATAATTACCGATGAACAATGTGTTCATCATTGTAAAATATTATTGGAACAAAAACACACACATATAATCTACCTCCTCCTAAATAGGTACCTCCGAATAACCTAGCCGGTACAGGAACCGGTTAGGCTATTCGAAGGTACGTGTATGTGATTATATATTTGAATGGGAGTGTTGTGTCCATTGTTGATGTGGTGGAGGAACACCACCAGGAGGCCGGACAGTAAGCACATAATTCCGGGGTGTTGATAGCCTACCAAGACTTATGGTTCACAGGTTTGAGTGTTCTGACTTCGAGAGGCCCTACCCATAATTCGTATCTAATATGTTTACACGCGTAAATGTAATACACGTTATCATTTTTCAAAAAGGTATATTTAAAATTACTAAGCAATTCTACCCAACAAATATAAATATATTTGTACACAAATATATGCCACACACGTCTCATATATAAAATATATGTTTTTAAATTAAGCAAAATAATGCTATTTATATCTAGTCACCAGATTGAAAGCAGATGAGAGGCTTACCTTACCATGGGTAGCTTGAAAGAGATCAGCAATGGTGCGGAGGCGGCTTCCAGCCTGTCTCCACCTCTGCCTCACCTCCTCTTCCTCTCTCCTTCCTCCTCTGATGCCCTCGTTTAACTTTCCTTTCTGAAGGAGCTCGTCGGAGCCATGGAGAACAGGGATCCCCCACAGATGAGGGAGGAGCGGCTGATATTGGTGACCTCGCCTGCATCTGTCACCAGGTACTCCTCCGTGGCGCGAAGAACAGTCGGGCGAGGCAGCACCACCCCCACCTGCCCTTTTAGTGACTAAATGTGGAGAGGAGAAAGGTGTGTTTGTAGAGGAGCTTGTGACTCTTGGCTGCGGAAGGTGGGTGTGGAGAGGGCGCTGGTGGCCAGGCTGGTGAGGCCAGGGTTGGCCAGGCTGGTGAGGCCAGGGTTGGCCAGGCTGGTGAGGCCAGGGTTGGCCAGGCTGGTGAGGCCAGGGTTGGCCAGGCTGGTGAGGCCAGGGTTGGCCAGGCTGGTGAGGCCAGGGTTGGCCAGGCTGGTGAGGCCAGGGTTGGCCAGGCTGGTGAGGCCAGGGTTGGCCAGGCTGGTGAGGCCAGGGTTGGCCAGGCTGGTGAAGCCAGGGTTGGCCAGGCTGGTGAGGGCAGGAAGGCAGTGCTTGACTCACCATCACATCACTCAGCGCCACAATCCCTGCACAACACGTCAGTCAAATATTATGAGCGAAATTGTTTATTAATTGTAAGATGATAGCAATTAAAATATAAGGTCCTCATTGTATCAAAAAAAGGTCTTTATAAGAAATGTGCCAAACTATTTCCACCCCACTCTGGGATCGAACCGGGATCGCCAATTGTGAGTAGAGAAGGCCAACAGTAATACCATTCTTGTGACTTTTTGAAGGGCCATTTTAGAGGTCGGTTGTTGGCTGTATCCTAGGGAAGGGGAGTGGCTGGCCCTAGGGGTGGGGATGTGGGGGGAGGTGAACCAACATTTCTGAAGTATATAAATATACGAAACCCTAACAGAACTATAACATTGGAAAATATATTTTCATGATGTGTATACATGCGTACAAATACTAAATATATATAATTTAATAATTGTACGCATGTATACACATCATGCATACCCTTTCAATGTTTCTGTATGCATATAGCTTGTCTCATCATTTACATATCTAACATTGCATGTATAAGTGTGTAATTATAGATAATTAGTAATGTTAATTATTTACGATTACTTGTGCATATACGCTAGGCATCCTTCTTTTTTATTGTTAAGTTCACCACTTATAATTTTGGGATGAATTCTCTAATCTTGTATACTTTATTTACCTACTACTATGTTCGGGTGCATGTGCCCCTACTTACGTAGAATATGTATACAAGTATAGTTATTAAGGTCACTTAACATGTATCCCCGCACAGGCACACACCATAGGCTGCAACTTACTAGCAACCGCGAAGCTGCAAAAAAATCCAGCCGCTTCAGTTGCAACAATTCCATTAAACTTGCAGTTGTAAATATTTTATTATTAATATTTAAAATTAATTAAAAATTTATATCGTCTATGGTGCTTCTGTTTCTTAGAGACGTAAATAATAATTAATAATTCATTGTGTTGGGGGGACAGGAAGCCTGAGTGTATTCATACAAGTTTTGGCTTTTATCGAGGTCCACCCTCCCCCCCCCCCAAGGCCGAATTACCGATCTTGCAACAAGCCGACTAACTCCTGAGTACCCTCTCAACGCTACGACTAGGTGAACAGAGGCATTAGGTGAAAGGAAATGAGCCCAACCACTTTGTCCCGCCATGCATTCGATTGATTGATTGATGAAGATTAAGCCACCAAAGAGGTGGCACGGGCATGAATAGCCCGTAAGTGGTGGCCCTTTTGAGCCATTACCAGTATCAAAAGATGATACTGGAGATCTGTGGAGGCGCAACTGCACCCTGCGTGACAGATGTCTCCCGGACCAAGTGGTGACCAAATGGTCGCCATGCATTCGAACCAGGAATTCTCGATTGTGCGTCGAGAACGAATCAGGCCGTACTACAGGTTCACTTTACATAAGAACATAAGAACAAAGGCAACTGCAGAAGGCCTATTGGCCCATACGAGGCAGCTCCTATCTATAACCCCCAATCCCACTCATAAAATGTCCAACCCGCGCTTGAAATGTGTGATAGGTCATATTTCAAGAAGGGAGTATACATCACAGGTAAATTAGTAAATGTTGCCGTACCTGTATGACCTGGAAGACTGCACCGAGCGACCAGCACGCCACAGCTGCTGCCAAGTTCCCAATCAGTCACCTCACCGACGTAGCCAAACGGCACGGCACCCACGTGAATAACCGCACTGATCATGGTGCACCAGAGCCCCTGTGGTGTCCTAGACCCAGTAGCCAGCACATCCCCGCCTACACTGAGGCACAGGGGCTCTACATCTTCCTTTTGGCATAACACGTGGCTCTTGTGAAGGAACTGGACCGGCGCGCGCAACCTCCTACAGTGTTGCCCTCTCCACGTCTCCCTCCCTATTATTCCTCCCTTTCCCTGGCACTGTATCCGTCCTACTAAAACACAACAATTTCCCGATAATAATAGCACTATGAAAATATGTGACTCTCAGGTAAATTCAGGTAAATACATTAAAAGATGCAGGCTTTGGCAACCATGCGCGCGGTCATTTGTAAACAATGGGCGGGGCATAATGCCTGGTAGCCAATCAGGAGACACTTCAGCCCACGTGTATAACCTCTGATAGACCCCTCTAACACGTGCCTGGCCCAGGCACGTGTTGTTTTAGATTCAGCTACTGGGAACAAAACGTTTCAAGTAGCACGGGCTATGGTGAGCCCGAAGTGGACTTACCTGGCACAGGAGCGGGGCTGTAACTTGCTATGTGGCCCAGGCGGCCATATACTCCTTGTGGCAACATGTGGTAAAGAATATACCAATCATTAAAAAACAAACTCATACGCACAGTTCGGTTAAGCACCTTTGGGTTTGGCTAGTAGCTGGGCGGGGACCTTGATAAGCCTAATAAATAATATTCTCGGACAGGAAGCTTATCAATAAGACATTGGCAGGCTCATAAAACTACGCTTTGTGTACTAGTGGCTGCGTTATATATGTGCTTTATGTAACGACTACTCAATCACTTTACCGTCTTCTGTATATGTTGTTTAATATAATACTGCTATATACAGTCAAACATGGCATCTCACTGTCAAGCGGGACATGTCAAACATGGCATCTCACTCAAACATGGCATCTTACTCTCAAACATGACATCTCACTGTCAAACATGACATCTCACTGTCAAACATGGCATCTCACTGTCAAACATGACATCTCACTGTCAAACATGACATCTCACTGTCAAACATGACATCTCACTGTCAAACATGGCATCTCACTGTCAAACATGGCATCTCACTGTCAAACATGACATCTCACTGTCAAGCATGACATCTCACTGTCAAGCATGACATCTCACTGTCAAACATGACATCTCACTGTCAAGCATGACATCTCACTGTCAAGCATGACATCTCACTGTCAAGCATGACATCTCACTGTCAAACATGACATCTCACTGTCAAACATGACATCTCACTGTCAAGCATGACATCTCACTGTCAAGCATGACATCTCACTGTCAAGCATGACATCTCACTGTCAAGCATGACATCTCACTGTCAAGCATGACATCTCACTGTCAAACATGACATCTCACTGTCAAACATGACATCTCACTGTCAAGCATGACATCTCACTGTCAAGCATGACATCTCACTGTCAAACATGACATCTCACTGTCAAACATGACATCTCACTGTCAAACATGACATCTCACTGTCAAACATGACATCTCACTGTCAAGCATGACATCTCACTGTCAAGCATGACATCTCACTGTCAAACATGACATCTCACTGTCAAACATGACATCTCACTGTCAAGCATGACAGTATATATTTATACCTAGACTTATCTTCTGTATTATTAAAATAATATTTGTTTGGTGTATTTCTCGCTCTGTTAAAATAACTGTTGCCTTATTAGAAGAAATACTATATTTCATGAGATGCGATTATTAGTGCACAGTAATTGTAAAAATAGCAATATAAATAATAATAATAGTGATAATAAATGCAATGGCAATTATGTAAATGTATATAATAATAATAATAATAATAATAATAAAATGTAAATACAAGCTATCTTTGGTATAATGTTTTCTTGGAGACCTTATGAGTTTTGGAAGTGTTGGGTATGACGTATTTTGCGGCCGTTGTGGAGGGGATATCTTAGTATATATAAAGAATAATGTTCTGATGCATAAAACATAGGCCGAGCCTCGTCGTCACCTCTGTCCTCTTCTGCTTCCCCACCCTCTCGGTAAAAAAAAATTTCCCCCTCCTCTCTCTTTGCCTTTCTTCTATCGTCTCTTTTTCCTTCTCTCTTGTTCTATATTCAGTCTACCTCGTATCCCCTCCTGTACTATCTCTCAATCTTCCCCTTCACTCTCTCTCTCCCCTCCCATTCTTCCCCGTCCTCTCCCCCAGCACCAGGCCGCCTGGGGACACATTTCCGACAAGTTGACTACCACAGTACACTCAGAGTGTGGTGCTGATACACCTGGTGAATGTATTCATTCTGACGGTCCAGTTCTCTGCCATACGTGGCCACGAAGCTGGAAGTGACAGAGCCTTCCTCCAGCTCTAGTTCAAATTCATTCCATTCGTTTACCAATCTCAATGTATACAAATATTTCCCTACATTTTCTCTAGCTGGTCCGTGTCCTTAACGTGGAAAACAGATTGTCTCTGTCCACATTATTCCCTCTCTGTCTTGTATATTACTAATGAGGTCGCACAAGGATCTTTGTTGGCTTTATCAGTCACTAGTGGGACTCCATGAGGCCTAGTATTGGCTCAAGTAACTACTAGGGGTTTCCAAAGTGATCAGTAACGATGAGGAAGTCTTACCTGTAAATTTAGATGCGGCTTAACAGAGGGGAATTCCTTTTATAATGAGTGGAGTATGTCTACTTCCTCTTGTCGAGATGAACATCAATATTTTAGTACATGAACAGTAGGCCTACATCGCCCACTGCCACTGAGTAGTAACTTCCTGCATCACAGCACCGCTCCTGTGCCAGGTAAGTCCACTCCGGGCTCACCATAGCCCGTGCTACTTGCCCCGCTCCTGTGCCAGGTAAGTCCACTCCGGGCTCACCATAGCCCGTGCTACTTGCAACTTTTGGTTCCCAGTAGCTGAATCTAAAACAATAACAACAACAACCTACACGACACACCACTCTCAAGTTCGTAAAAAAAATAGACTAACGCGGAACTCAAACCTAAATCATGATGTGCGCATTTAAGCAATTAACGAAAATATATATTTTAGGCTTTTTAAATGCAGATAATATTAAATAAGGGTTCCTGCTTATATAATGTGACTAATAAAGTGTCTTTTTCACACAGCTACTTTACAAGTATTATTTTCCTCTTTATTTGTTTAATTTTTGCCAACCTCTCCGGTGTCCATTATTTGCATAATAGGAGTTTGGTATTATGAAAATAATGGTCTCTCTCCTTGTAAATTATCTTCCAAATTGTATTCCTGTTTTTGGTCTTATGAGGTAGTGTTAGGCAGAGATATGGCACTACGA